CAATAAAAGTGTGTGCCTCAGCCCCAGCTCAGCTCAGCAATTTCAGTGGCAGCAAAAGGCGACAGACATTCCGGGTAAAGGCAGGCAGGCAGGCAGGCAGGCAGGCAGCCTGCCTGGGAGGCATCCAACAGATGGCAATTGTTTCCCATTATTGCTTATGCTGATGATTAAGAGCGAAAGAGCGCCAGTGCCAGAGCCACAGCCACAGCCGGAGGTGCAGGAGGAGCCTGCCTCTTCGACCACACAAAAGCCATTCGCCCAACGGCAGATTAAAATGTGTTAATGGCCCATCCCATCCCAACCCCACCCACTCCACTCCACTCCACTCGCTCTGTCTCTTTCTCTCTCTCTCTCTCTGGAGGGAGTGAGAGAGAGGAGAGTACGAATCACAAATTGCCATCAATTAAGATCACAAATGCCAGTCGAATATCTCAGAGAATTCCCCTGTTCGCAGTCAGCTTTCAAGTCTCCTATAGAGACATAAACATTTACGAGATTTCAACTTTTGTTTTCAACATATGCAAATCCATTGAGGGCCCCAGTCCCAGCCCACGCAACACTTTTCCACTTCTTTGTCTGCGATGATACGTATTTTATATCTCCGGTTGAAAGGCAGTTATTGGCTCATGTCCGACATTCGCTGGGGCTGGGAACATTTAAATTTTGGAATATTTACTCAAATATTTATATGCACTAAGTAGTTGGAGAAGAATGGATGGATAGATGCTCCGCCACACTCGCTCCCCTTTCGTACTCATTGCTGTGTGGAGCAGGGGGCATAATAGGCAATGGGAAGCTGAACTTCTGACCGACTGACCGCTGAGATGTCAGTCAGAAGAGTTCACCTGTCACCTCTATTTATGTTGCTTTGATTATTTATTTTATTTTATAAATTTAATGAAATAAAACACTTTAATTGGGTATCCCACAGTCGTAATTCTCCCTACAGTTATGCTCTGGACTTATTCTGCTTTGCCTTAGTCTGCTGCTGGTGTTCGGCATTCTCTTGGCTGAATGCCTTTCTGATTGTCTGTGGTGGCGCTTGGTCTGTTTGTTTAACCACCAGCAGCAGCAGCAGCAGCAGCAGCAACAACAGAGGGCCAATAGTGGAGGCAGAGTGGTAGGGCCAAGGAGGAGAAGGAGGAGAAGGAGAAGCAGGGCCACAAGCACAGACCAGCAATAGACTTTAGTACCAAGCTGGTTCATAAGCCTGTTTATGTGTGTCTCTCTGTTTGTCTGTCTCTCTATCTGTCCGTTTGTCCGTCTGGTGTCCTCTTCCCTATGTGTGTGTGTGTAGCAAGGGGGAAGTTCGTCTGTATTCTCTCTGTTTACAGGAAATTCCATCAAATTCCTGTCGGTTATGTGCACTGAAATGAATAATATACTGCCATGAAATTAGGTTATTACACTGAAAGAATAGCAAGCAAGCCAAGCCAAGTAATTTCATTAGCTGAATTCCACTCTGCGCTGTGTCGTTTGTTTCAGTTGTTTCTTTTTTTTCTGCTGCATTCTATTGCCACAAGGACTCTGCAGGTGAGTATTATAATTTTACATAAAGCCAGAGTCAGAGTCAGTGGCAGAGTCGGGTGGGGTTGGGGGTTTTCCAGATGTTGTCATGGCTCCTGTTGCTCTGCTCTGCGCGAGTAGTTTGCCAACTAGAAGTACAAATCGCTTGCTCGTATTTAGACAGGCCCCGGACTGGAATGGCCTGCCTGTTTTCTGGGAGGGCGGGGAGAGAGATTGTCGGGCAGACTTGTCCGTCTGGTGGCTGCAAGCCCACCCACGCTTCTACTTACGGCGAAAAGTATCTTTTACTGATGCTTAGTTTGCCATTTGCTACGAGTATACCAGAGTAGACGTACCCATGGCTGTTGTCGTACTTGTGCGGATGTTGTTTCTACTGCTGCTGTTGCTGTTGCTGCTGTTGCTGTTCCTGCTGTTTATGCTGTTGCTGTTTTCTGCTGTACTTACTTTATTCTCCAACAATTTGCTACATGAGGTCGGTCTGGGTGGGGTTGCTTCTGTGTGTGTGAGTGCTCAATATGCTTGCAGGGAGGGTCATAAGAGCCTTGGTAATGGTAGTCACAGACATCAACTTTGGTAGCCTCCCTCCCGTCCGCCCATTCTCTCAGTAGCAGCAAAAGTCAAGGTATTTTACTTGTGAATTGTTTGTAAGTGGAAAACTTTCTGCACACGTTTCCCCATAAATACAATCAAAATGCAAAGAAAAATAACGAAACAAAGAAAAAATATGCAATGCCATAGTGGAGCTTATATACACTAGAGACTGTTTGCAGGATATTACACATATGTACATACATATGTATGTATGTATATTCCTTGAGTATTTTACACATAAGAAAATATATCTAATATTTTTTTTTTATACTTAATTTCCCACAATAAAAATATAATTTTTGTATAAGTTTTTTTATAGATTTATTTTTTAGTTAAAATTTTTGCTTTTTGTTGAATTTTATAAAAAGGAATTTGTGTGTAAATATTTCTGAATTTCGTGTAATTTTGATATGTCAGTGTAAGTATTTTTGGGGTTTTGTTTTTCGCCAGTGATCCTTTTCTTGACCATCTCAGCCAATTACCAAAGACTGCGAGCCCTTTCAAGTTTTTTATTCTTCTGTAAAGAGTATTCCAAGTTGCTATGAAGTTGCAGTTTTCCACTCTGTCGCTTTGCTGTAATTGTTTGTGCCTTGCCTGCTGAGTGCTGAGTGTGCAAAATCCAAGAAGTTATACTGTTGGGCCCGTTCTTGCGAGAGGGATTTCATGTGAATCGAGTGACAATAATTAATGCGAACTTAAGAGTGTGTGCGCTTGGTGCATAATTGAGGGGAAATTACATACAAGAATTGCCATGACATTGAATTAATAAATGCAGGTGTGCGCGAGTCTTCTATGGTCTTCCATTAACTGGGAGCTGGCAATGTCTGTTAATCTGCTGCCCCCGCCCACGCTTCCTCCCAGTGCCAGTGGGGTCAGCAGAGGTAAAATCAATTACTCAACAAAGCACAGGTGGGAGGGAAGGATGGTGTCATGGGGCTGTGGTGTTTTCGGGGGGTGGTGGTCTGGCGCATACATACATCAAAGACAACATGCAACAATGGAGAGCGGCGATAACGGATGAGCATCAATCACATTTCGTGCATTCATTGCCCGGCAGCAACAACCCCAAAAATCCCGAGTCCATTTGCCTCGACAAAATGTTTGGCACGGGGCAGGGAAGTCGTCTGTCAAACATTCGGAACGGACAGAAAACTTCATTCCACTCCATTGTCAGATTGTTGCATGATGCGAGGGGACATGTGCAGCACTTGGTAAATTAATCAACCCTTGCTGCAGCGTGTGGCAGTGTAGCAGTGTAGCAGTGTGGGATGTGGTGCTGGGCAGCTGGCTTGGGGGCGGCGGCATGTCTGGAGGGCGACATGCCATAATTACGTTTTAAATGCCCCCTGTTCTGCCTTCTCCACTTCTCCACTTTCCAGTGAAACATATGTACATACATATTTGTATGTGTATTTTTGTTTTATAATGCTTTTAGGTGTTCGGTTTAGCCATGTAAACGCAACAATTGGGCAGACAAAGCAAACCGAAAATCAATTCAATTCAATTAGAAGGCGCGCGCAGAGGCCACAACATTGTTGCATGTGGCAAATGCCATTTGCAACGGAACAGAACAGCAATCACAGTCCCACAAAAAAGCAAATGCAAAAGCTTAGCCCAAAAGCAGCCACACAAAGTTATGGCCGAGCCAACCCAACCTCATCATCCCTTCCATCCCTTCCCTCTCATTTCCCAGTCAGTGACACCACAAAGCACAGAGTGTGTGTGTGGGTGTGTGTGGGGCATGTGGCGGGCGTGCCACATAATATAGCTGCCTGTCTGTTGCAATAATAGCCGTAAATTGCCGCCTCTTCATTATGCCCTTCCATCGAAAGGTTACTTGACTTCTAAATGAAAGCTTGAAGAAATATTTTCTTGCTACAAATCGTTGGATCAATTTATTTGCCTCTCATTTAATATAATGTCAGAGCTGAAATGTTATTTTATGTATCTTTTATCTTCTGAAAAACTAGTCTTGGCTATCTAAAGGGTATCTAAGGATCCATAGCCAGAAGCCAGAAGCTGTAGGTGCTGAGGGGGATGCAGCTACAATGTGTGTTGTTGCAACGCCAACTGCAACTGCAACTGACTGCCATGTATGTATTTGCATTTAAATATTTGTATATGCGTGTGCGTGTGCAGCATATGAAGTACATTTAGGAAATTAAATGCGTTTACCTTCTGTGCATCGGATGCCCTTCCACCTGCCCACCCTGCCCATCTCCTGCCCAGCTCCTGCCCAGCTCCTGCGGCATGTACACACGCCCACAATTTATAAGCCTTTTGGCTACATTTTGTGGCTCTGATTGCAATTATCTCTTGCATTTTGTATTTATTTGCTACACTTTTGGCCAATTGTCCGTGTTCGTCTTTTGTCTTTTGTCTCTTGCCCTGCTCCCTGTTCCCTGGTCCCTGGCCATTGTCAATGTCCAGTTCGGTTCGTTTCGGTTCGGGTTGGGGTCATCAGTTCTGTTCAGGGCGATGCCATATGTGTGTAAATCGACTGGTTGCAATTGTTTCTCTGTTACATTGCACTGGGCACCCCATAAATCCTTTTGTGTGTTCGCTGCCTGTGGCAGGGGCAGGGGCAGGAGCAGGAGCCAGAGTGGATATTTGTGTGCGGCTTCCAATTTGAAGTTTATTAATTGTCAATTTCATGAATTTTTCGGTAGTAGGTAGGCCCCTTGGGCAATCAACATTTCAGACCAAAAGGATTGTTGTGTCAGACTGTGATTTGTGATGGAAGAATCATCGCCTGTTTGTTTCGTAAATGGTTTAATTAATATTCGTATAAATGTAAGTAAAGTTCTTAGTTAATATGCTTCAATTCCAATAGATATTTGCCCATAAGAAAGGTTTAATTCGTTTCAAAAGGTTTTATTTTGTTGTATAATTTTACATTTTGTTTTTTATTTGAATGGATTGGATTGCATTTCGGGGTGTCGTTGTCGTCGTCGTCTTCTGTGGTTCTCGGCCGGCCTTCTGCTCAATCAGAACTGACCCCAGCGATGGGGCAGGCCCTCGCCATTCGGATAGTTCTGACTGTTCATGTGCTCCAACATATACTTGACGTAGCGATCGCGCCGCTGCTCCGGGGGAACATCCTGCAGAGCCTGCCAGGCATTGCGCTGCAGCTCGCTGACATTCGTCTGGATGCGGAACGGCTGGGAGGTGGTCAGAAAGCTGCGCTTCTTACGTGGCATTGGCGGAGCGGGCGCAGGCAACGGCTCCAGGTGGCGGGGCGGCTCGTTGGGGGCATCCAGCAACATGGCCAGCTGTGGATGGCGGCGTCTCAGAAGCTCCATTCCCTGCTGATTGTGATCGTCAATGTTTTGGCGAATGCTCGGCAAGCGAATCAGCTGATATATGCGATCCATTTTGTTTGTCAATAAACTATCAAAAGCCAAAAAATGTTAAAAAAAAAAATACGGCAGTTTTATATTTATTTTTTTTTTATTTTTTGGAAATTTCTGCTATAATATGTGAGAGCTATGTTTTTGTGTGTGTTTGTATAGAGATGTTGTCGCTACGAGTTTCAAAGTAAATCTGAAAAAAGTTGGGGATTCCCAGCTACTTGCTTTGTTCTGTCTATAATTGAAGTACATTTCCAGGACTAACATGATGTGAGGCCAGGCCAGAAACTTTGTCTAAACTTGGCAAAGCGATAAGATAGATTCATGTGTATCCATTGAATGCACACATACAGGCCAGCAGGGGCAGTGGCAGTGGCTGGGGCTGGGGCTAAGGCTGATGTAGTCATATCCATATCGAACCTTGTCTGGCTCTCTATTCCGTTCCCCAATGTCCAGCTACAAATGGAGAAATGCTGTCTGACATTTGTTCTGGCCCCACCCCACCCCGCCTTCGACAGATTGGACACATTTAGCCCTGTTTTACCCAATGGGTGGCCTGCCTCTCTATGCCTCTTTGTGATGTTGCTGCCACCATCATTACAAGCAATTTAACTCGACGTAATGCTGCCATCAAGTGCCGTGCTGTGCTGCACGTCGCGGCAGCTGTTTGGCTTGGGTGTGTGTGCCCCTAATGGGAGCACATTACGATCTGTAAATGAGTTCATTATGAGGCTGCTCAATTAATAACTTTCGACTCTATCGACTCTCGCCGGAAATTGTTTGCTCAATGGAAAATTGTTCAAAAGATGCTGAGAAGAGAGAGTTCTGGGACTGGGGCAAAACAAAACAAAAAAAAACAAACTGCTTTTGGTGGGGTCTGTGGGCTGTGTGCATCCAACAAGTTAGCATCGGGCAGCATGTTGCTGGCAACATTCTATGTAGCGCCGACGCAGATGCTCTCTCTCTCTCTCTCTCTCTCTCTGTATGTCTCTGTCCCTTAATCTGTTGCCCCATCTCGCTCTATGTAGCACTCTCTGGGTAACAATTTATGATGGCTTTTGGGGTCTGTGACTGTGTGTAATCACATTGTTGCCATTTTCACTTCATTATTTTGCTTTAATACGAGCAAATTTTTGTTTTATTGCTGGCATCCTTTGGATTCTGTTTGCGTAAGCTCTCTCTGTCTCTCTCTCTCTCTCTGCCTATCTCTCTCTGTGTGTGTCTCTGTCTTTCCCCCACTTTATGTGTGTGTCTCTTTCTTCATGTCCTTCCCTGTTCTGCCACACTTGTGCTGTTACAGTTGGTTAAGCAACAAGGCCAGGTTGGGCCCTGCCTTGCCTTGCTTTGCTTTGCTTTGCTTTCCAGCTAGTTATCAATGAAGGGAACGGAACGTGCATGTCCCTGATGCTCTGTCGCTTCGAGCGACCTTGTTTGTGTGGGTGGAATGGGCATCCATGGGCATCTCTGTCTGTCTCTCTGTCTGTCTGTCTGTGTGTGTGGGAGGGAGGGAGGGAGTGTGCCGAGAGCAGACAGTAATTATTATGCCATGTCCAGCGATAATTGATTCAATGAAATATCTTCAGCCTGTACATTGCGTTCGGTACAGAGAGAGAGAGCGAGAGAGAGCGAGAGAGAGAGAGCTGTCTTTGCCTTATCCTTTATCACATTGTTACGGCAGCTGCGTTTGGTTTATTAAAGGCTTACGAAATATGATGTGACAGCCAATCGATGGCAGTTACTTCACATTTCTTCTGCTATTTCTGTAAGCAGATTAATTGCTGAATGTAAATTTGTTCGTTGCCACAAAACATAACCCGCCATGTCACATGTAGTTTAGGAATAGAAAGAAGCCCAGCGGGGGTGTGGAAAACTGATTCTGCTAAATAGTACTTTATTTGACAGTTATGACCCGCCCTTTGAAGGTGTTTCAATTAGCTGCAGCCATAAACTATAAGTTCCCCAAACCGACCGAACATATTCCATAATAAACCAAAATATTATGCTAATGAATCCATCAATATTTAAGCACTCGCCCGGGGGAATAGAGCAGTCAGTTTCCAGCTGCCAGCTAATTAAATGGAATTATAATTGCATTTAATTATCGGTTCAGACCCAGACCCATGCCCAGAGAAGAGCAGTCTATGGCCACATAAAATGTCAACTGCATTAGCATCCTCATTATCAGCAGGGCAACACTTTTGGTCTCCGTTTGCTGCTGCCGCATGCAACACATCCTCAGGGCTCCTTTGATCTGTGCCTCACTTCGACGTTGCGCTTGTTAAATTCGATACATATACATATATATCTTTTTTATGGGTTATATGGCAAGGGAAGTGCGACGACTAAGGGGGTATACTTCCCATTATGTGTGTGTGTGTGTGTGTGTGGTGTGCGTGTGTGTGTTTTGCTTTTATATTTTCGTTTTTAATTACTTTTGCGCTATTTTTAAGCTGTCTGCGGGGCCGACAACATCCGAAACCGAAACCAGGTCCCAACTAAGGACAGAGACAAGTCCCCCAGCCTCGTTGCATCTTTACTAGGTGTTAATTTATTTTTAATTTTTATTATTTATCAGTGCTATGCGATCGCTGTGGTGCTGTGGCGCTGCCACTGGCGTCCCCATCAAAGAGGATCGCTCTCTCCGCCAAAGAATCTCAACCGATGAGCCACTCCATTGCCATTCCAGCTCTCATACGCACATACATACATACATACATATTCCATCATCATAACGTTGACGTTTCTATAGCATGAGGTATGCCTGGGTCTGGCATCGGGCATCGGGCCCTGGGCTCTGCACTCTCGCATGCAATTAATATCATTTTTATATGTTCTAATGACATTCGTTGCGCTGCATTTCGTGTGCATTTAGCGGGGACCGGGTTCGGGTCCGGGTGCGGGGCTGCCCCCGAAAAACCATCATCGCTCAAAACGGCATGGCAGGCACGAATCTTTCAAGTTGTAAAAACGCCATTAAATTGGCAGCGAAGTGCATGCCGGTCCCCCAGTCCCCAGTCCACAGTCCGCGATGATCACTCAACGGAGTCGCGGATGATGCCACTTGGCGAGGGGTAGGGGTCCTCCACACCTACCCACACTCTACCCCCCATTAAAAGGGGAGCCCTGGGCCACATTTAATTTACTTTATTGACTTTAATTAATTTGTATGTTTTTGTATCAATTTTAGACAAAAAGAAAAAGAAAAATGTTTTGCGTTTGCTCTTTTGTTGTAAATATCATAAATAGTTCGATGCTGGGCTGCCAGCCATAAAATATATCTGTGTGGAAATGTAATAAACATTAATGTACATATATATATATGTACAGAAAGTTGTGGGTGTGTGGGTGTGTACAGGGCCCTGTAGCTGTGGCAGCTACTGTTCCAATCACGATTGGCATCTTAATGGTCAATAAAAACTAATTAAATGCTTTAATACAGCCAGCCAGTCATTTACGTTGTGGCACAGCCCCCAAAAAGAGTTGAACAGATCGATCAAATATGGAAAATTGTTGCATAAATCAACACACAGAGATAAACAGCAGAGAATCAGAGACAGAGAGATAGAGAGATACAGCTGCAGATACATCTGAGAGTGGTGTGTGGTGTGGGCGCCATGACAAACATATTTTAATTGTTTGCCCCTCGTATTGGAGGGGAGGTCTTTGCTGCATCCAGGGCCAGGGCTTGCCGTTGACAGCCACCAAATCGCAAGAAATGCCGAAACATTTGATACCCTTGCATTCCCCCAAATAATCAAATGATCGATGCATCATTTTCTGCCTTCTATAAGGGTATAAAAGGGCGAGTCATAATGGTTGAGACTTGCACGGGCTTGCCTGCCCGCCTTCTGGTGGCTCTGCTTTTGCAGCTCCTCTGTGTGTATGTGTATGTGTGTGTGTGCTCCCTCCTGGTGGGTCTGCTCTGGCTGCTTTGCCCCCGACGCCACTAGACCATCAAGTCCAACCGCCTGCATCTCTTTAGCATCGACAGAGTTGACTTCTTGGCTGCCGTTTGAGTGGTGCTCCCTCCTGTCTGGTCTGGTCTACACTTCCAATCGCGTCGCGTCGTCCCAGGGCCCATGGCCAGGGCACTCTTCGTCAAACACAACAAATCGTTTTCATTGCCGCTTGGCAAAAGCATTTTCAAAATTGATGCGGTGTCTGCGTTTAGGTGGAAAATTGAATTTTCATTTTCATTTTATTTCGTTGGACGGGTCTGGTTCTTGCTCTGGCTCTGACTCTCACTCTGGCTACGGCTATGGGCTATGGGCCCCCTTCGTCTGTCGTAATGCCCGATGCCTGATGCTTGGGGATGCTTGGGGTGTGTTAACTCAAATTTGATGAGGTTGAGGTATTTAAATAAATTGTTGCATGCGTTCTGTTTGACATTTTGTTATTTTTGCCGTTGATTGGTGGAGTTCCTGCTCGGGTTCGCCCCAGGAAAATGTCACCCGCAGTCGCCCACTCATCTTTGGTGGATTTTTGGATATACACATACAATGTATGGGAAAGTGTTCCCATTTTGGTTAAGGTGTACACCTGCTTCGAGAGCACTCCCTTTGATGCTTTGAAGTTATTACTTAACTTTGCACTCGAATTTAACTGCAGCATTTTTGACACAAAAATTTAACTCAAATATGCATAACCTTCAGCATTACATTAGTTCCAATTAAATGTTATGCTTTTGTTAGTTTCGATGTCTCACTGTCGTAGCAGCGGTGCCAACTCTGCTGATTGCAGAGTGAAGCAACAGCAACAGCCTCTGGAGCTTCCACTGTTAGCTTCAACCTTCTTGCTCTTTTTACTCTCTCCCCTCTATGCTTTAACTGTAAGAAAAGCTCACACTTTTAAATCTTCTCGCCTTTCTGCTGTATTTATCTTTGCTCCTAGTTACCATTCTCTCTCCAATTTTTACTGTTTTGCATTGAACTGGGCATTTCTGGGCATCTCGCACTTCAGTGTACAGTCTGTCGCTTAGTCGTCGTCTTAGATTCGTGTCGTTCACTTCTGTGTGTTTTTTTTAAATTGTTAGCCACCATTTTTTATTTTTTAAATATTTTTTTGGCAATGAAGAAGTTGCAAGTTAAGGCTCCGAGCAATTCGCGCAAAGAAATTGGCAGCAAAATTTTCGCACAAATGGAATCTGCATCCGCATCCGCATCCGAGTCGGAATTCGAGTCGAATGGCGAAGAGTCCGAGAAAGATGAAGGAGAAGAAGAAGAGGATGTGTCAGATGCCCCAAAGAGTACTAATGACGACATTGGATTTGACCGTGTGGGTCATCCCGAGGCTTCATCACCTTACCCCTTTCCCACTCCGCCGCCCGATGCCGGAACGAGGATGGCAGCGCGCAAGACCTCTGTGATCTCGGAGATACTTATGGCCATCGAAGCGTTGGATAATAAGGCCGGATCATCGGTTAAGGCCATTGTCAAGTACATGAAGAGCAATGGTCACGAAGTGACTGACGAAAGTCGCTTTGGCAGGCAAGTGCTGCGGTCGCTTAAGCTCTGCATTACCAAGGGGCAGGTGGAACAGATTAAGCGTTCTTTTAAGCTCACAAAAGCACCCAAGAATCGGCGTAAGTCAGTGGAGAATTTGAGGGCACATCAGGCACTGGAAAAGGCCAAGGAGAAAGCCAAAGAGAAGGAGCGAAAGGCGCAGGCCAAGAAGGAGGCCAAAGAGGCCAAGGACTCCGCAAAGGCGATGGAAAAGGCAGCAAAACAAGTGAGTAGCAACAATCATCAATCAATCAATCATTGCATCTATACAACTCCCTTTTCTTAACCACCTGCAGCCCAGCAAAAAGAAGAAGGCTGCTGCAGAGGTCTCCATTGAGATGGTCTCCTCCCCATCAGCGCCCACTGCGAAGAACAATTCCAAGTCCAAGTCCAAGACCAGGGCCAAACAAAATAAGCCACGAAAATCGATTGGAACTCTGGCCAAACCCATGGTCAAGTCCAAGGTAAATGTCAAGGCTGTTAAGCAGCTGGTGGCCGGCAAGGGCAAAGATCTCTCCGAGCTCGGCGATGATCTCGACGCTGGAGCCAATATGCTGGAGGCGCAGGCCACCTCAACTCCCCAGCTGGTGGCAAAAGCTACGCGCAAGCGCTAGTAACGGGGTGCTTAAATTTTCCCCTTTCTTTTGTATGTTTATTATCAAGTTAAATTAATTGTTTTGTAAATTATAAATAAATGTTTGCTTTAATTAAAATATGCATTGGCACAATATTATGCAAGTGCATAACTATTTGTGGACACTGTGCTGGGTAAGCTTCGTGCACTTCTTGAAGCCGAAAGTACAGCTAGCAGCTCGCTCAACAGACAAGGTGTGGAGAGAGACGAGACCCGCACATGTGGAGAGAGCAAATGGCGAGCAGCTGCAGCTGGCGTGTTCTCTCGCTCTGCATTAACCGTTGCAAAGCTCACATTGTGTGATTTCGCTTTGGCTTGTGCATTGTGTTCTTGGTTTATCTAGTTTTATCTGCTTATCTCTCCTGACTTTACTTCTTTGTGTTGGACATTTTCTGGGCATTAGCCGAGGAATGTTTTTGTATACGAAAAGTTTACATTGTAAACAAATCGAATTGAGATTTCATTCTTGATGTTTGGGTTTGGGTTACATTGATAGTTATACCCCTCTGGTCGATTAGCAAGCCGATTTGGCCACTTTTTGGGTACATTACATGGCAGTAGTCAAGGGTTTTTTAACTGCCCATTAACTGGCGCTATAACCAAGCCCACTGATAAATCTAAAATCAATTATAAAACATCAATTTCAGACTGGAATCTAATACAAATTATCGGAGCGTTAGACGGGGCTCAACATAATCAGGGCCCAGACATTCCTAATTGCGAGTGGATGGAGCACTCGCTGCCTCATTAGGTTATCTCTGCCCATACCTGGACCGTAAATAGAGTCATCAGCAGTCGATAAACGCTATCGGATCATCGCTTTTATGCGGCTCTGCCTGATTAATGAAGGGCGAACTCAAACTTGGAACGTCAATTGCCGTCGGCCGTCGTTCATTTAATTGCTGCCTCGGCGACAAAGCTGTAAATAAGTCAAAGAACAGGCTCAGACGCAGACTCTGGGCCCACTTCATACTCGTAGCCGAGTCGCTAACCAGACGGCAACTGTTGCCGACGGGCACTGGCACTGGCACTGGCACTGGCGGTGGCACTGGCTGTTGCTCCCTGTTCTTTTATTTTATTTTCTGTTGCGCCTCATTGTCTCCCCGCCCTGTCGCGATGCTGCTCGCGTTGCCCTGCCCTGCCCCTGCCCCTTGCTGTCGGCACTTAAACGACTGGCTGCAACATTCTTTGCTGACAACGCAGTAATTAAAATTCAATTGCAATTAAAAGTGCGCACGCAAAACGGGCAACGACAAACAAAATGAAGCGCAAAGCCAAGGCTTTGCCTGTGAAGGGTAAGGAAAATAAGGCAGCTGGCCCGGGCAAGGGAGCAGGGATGCAGGAAAGGACGCATAGGAAAAAGAAAACAAGTTAGAACAACATAGTCGAGTAATACGACTATAAGATACCCTGGGCCGAGAACTGGGGAAAGGCCAGAGAAGGAAGAAATCATTCGAGTAAAAAAAGAAAACGATTAAAGATTATTGTCTCGAAATTCAGTATCTAAGAGCCATTCCTAAAGGTTATCCTCCATGATTAAAGGAAAATAAAAAAGCAGGGTATATTAGCCCTTGTCCGATACAAGTGCGAGTACCTGGTATCTGGCATAGAATTTGTCGCAATGGCCAAGATTCTGCCTGACCAGCTAGCAGCTCCCATTTCCCCAGTTTGCCAATTGCCTCCATTGGTGGGCCCAATGCGCGGCATTTGTTGCCTTGTCATCGGGTTTTGTCGTCTCTCCATCTGCCTGGCATTGCCCCGGCACCGGCCACTTCTCTGCCACCTCCAGCTCCCATATCTCCCATATCACATCCTCCCGTATCCAGTTTCGCCTTTCGCTTTTATTTTTTCTCCTCGGGCGCATTCTTGCGTAGGCGTTTGACGTGCCGCTGCCGGTGCCGCTGATTAGCCGGCAGTTCTCGTTCTCAGCCCTCAGCTGCTACCATAAGCGGATACTTGAGATCCCTGGGCGCTTTTAAGGCGAAATTACCAAATGAAAACACTCACAAACGGATCCGCGGGTATCACAAATGCTGAGCAGGTCTGGGAATCAAACTCGCACAGAAAAGTGCTCGTACTCCACATTTTAATTGCTGTTGCTGTTGGTGTTGGTTCGTGGAAACGAAACCGTCCAGAAGAATTCTGCCCCCTAACGAAAGCGAAGCGAAACTTCTGATGTGATTGCATGTCAAACGATACAAAGCTAAACAGAAGCGATATGAATGCAAATGTGTATATTTTTTTAATTAATTGAGTCAAAAAGACATTGCTCTTTCCCAGCCCAAAAGAGCCCGAACAATAACAGACCCGCCCCCTGCCAACCAACCGACCCTCCTTGGCATCAAGTAATTCTCCTTAGTTGGCATTGTCATTGGCCGTAGTTCTCATGAATTTCGGTGGCTTTGCTTTTGGTTCTGTGTGTCAGCGAATAATGCCAAATTATAAATAAATAAATGCAAAATTAATAGGAATTGTAAACAATTACATAGCTAGCCCCTTCACGCCAAATTAATGCTTAAAATCGATTTGCAAAGTGCAAACTTTGGGAAAATATTCAAATTCAAAATATAGTTCAGAAATCCACCCGAAGCGAACAGAACATACAATTTTAAATCAGTTCAGGGCAAAAGCATGCCTATGCTATTTATGATAATTGTTTAACGGTTCATTAATTTATTGTGGGCACTGTTTGGCATGCGATCTGCGCAGAACTCATCCTTGGAAAGTAGGGGCCAGCGAACGTTGCAGATAATTAATTACAGGCTGCGCTTAAATTCAATTTTTACTTTATTATTTGCTTATTTAAATGTGCCATGCATTGAAAGAAAATTGTGCAGGGAAAGTTGAATTTATATATGTTAGAATTAGATTAGTTATGCCGATGTATATACTAATCAAATCACTGATATGTACCTACGGTATTGAATCTGTATACATAAATCAAAACCAAACTTTTTCTCTGAGTGTTTTCAGTTCATGATCTGGGCTATAGTCCCGCATAATTGTCATGCCGCATTTGTGAAATAATTCTTAAATAATTTCATCAATTACGTCGTCCAGCTGCACAGTGTCGGGTCGGTCGATGGGTCGGTCGGTCGGGACTGCGATTGGGATTGGGATTGGGCATGGCCTGGCTGCTGCTGCTGCCTGCCTGCAGTCGTTGCCATTTCAATTATGTTGATATTTATTTTCATATTTAATTTAACACGAACTGAGTGAGAGTGAGAGATGGGCGCGACTGGAAAGTGGAAACGTGCGGAAAAGATGGAAAGGAAAAGCATCAGGAGCGGAGTGGAGCGGAGCGGAGCAGCAGCAAACATTTGGAAAATCCATTTTACAGTAAAAACCGCATGCATTATTTAATTTTTAAGTGAAATCAATTACAAGCTCGTTGGATATAGCTGGCAGGGTCGGTGGGTCCGTGGTCCGTGGTCTTGGTCTGGTATGGGCTGGGCAGGGGGCTGGCTGGGCTTTTGATGTTAAATACCATGCCGTCGACATCGATCGTCGTGTTGGTTGTCGATAGCAGGGGAATGTGCATGTGCATGTGCAGTCGCCATGTGTGTGCGTGTCTGTCCAAGGGGGGGGTGTGTCGGGGTCGGGGTCCGGGTCTGTGCGTGCATGTGTGTGTGGGGGGCGACGGAAGTGCGCATAAATGCAATTGCAGTCGAATAAATAAATAAAAATACTTTGTGTGCCATTAAATTTCAATTAATAACAAGGCAAACACACACACGTGTCGCGACTCTTTTTCTGGCTACAATATTAATACATTTTGGCAGCGGTGCGTGCCGCCCCGTGTGTGTGTGTGCGCCGCCGATTGCCGCAAGACCATGAAATTAAGTCACAAATTAATTAATTAATGCAATCAATACGTTGGACATTTGCATTGCATTGCATTGGACTGGATGTTGCTGCTGCTGTCGTTGCTGCTGCTGCTGGTGTGTCTGTTGCATGTGGGCAACATTGCAATTTGCAATTACAATTATGCCTCGCCCCGACGACTGCTGGCAGCCATTTCTTGCACTCTAAATATAGAGCCAACTGGGCCGCTAAGGTCGCTTGCCAACAAAATTGCCTTCGCCCAGGTCTGGACACCCGAGCAGAGCAGGAGCCCCACACAACAACACACACACACGCCATGCCGATGCCCATGCCCATGCCCAACATCATTTTTTAATGGACTTTTAATGTTTGTCGCCTGTATGTCCGCTCGGGGAGTGTATTTTTTTTTGTATTTTTTGTATTTTTTGTATTTCGGGGTCACTCTTTGGGGGCTGTTGCTGCTGCTGCTGCTCGGGCTGCACAATTAGCTGCCGCTTGTGCTCTACATGTGTTCGATTGCGTCGCCCATCTAGAGAGGTGGGCTTTCCCGGCTTTTCGTGTGCTGGAAGCTTATTAGCCCAGCCTAGCCGTAGTATGGCTTGGGCGGCAGTCAATTAGTGTGAAATAACAAGGTTTATCGGTTTATAGGATTTTCGGAATTGCATTGGCTAATACCTTTTAGTGGTCAGAACAGGTTTTGATGATTGCAGCATAGTTGAAATTACATTGCAATGCATTAAAAGTGCATTTAAATATTACTAATACGTTATTTATTCAATGATCCAAATCGAAATATTGAAAGCTGCATACTGGCGCCATCTGTGGGGCTATTCCATTCGGAAGCTGTGTAGCGTCAGCTACATGTGGTTTCTGAAGTCTGTGGGCAGTTTCATAGCTAACAGCCTCAGTCAGATAGAATGTTAAAGAAAATGTTAATGTTAATTCTATGTTAAATACAGCTAACAGAAATTTAAAAAAAATGTTCAGGGCAAAAATAACTAAAATTACCGTTATAAATTATATTTCATTCTTCATTATATTTCCATTTAAATTAAAAAAATAAAACATTTCGAGTATATTTTTCGCATTTCCATGTACTTTTATTGCGGTTTCCTCTATGCTTCATATATTTGAGTTATCATATAATGCTTCTCCGTAAAACTACTGATAAGGATAATAACGCGAACAGTACATCGATATATTGTATTTGTATATATATATATTTTATTCGCTTAACAGACACAGTTTACAATATAGTTTATCAATCAATTAATTAATCATATATTTATCGTACCAAATCAATCAACTGTGGACAAAACTATTGAGTGGCAAAGAGCTTGCTTAATGTGAGTGTATTTTGGGGTAGTGTAGTTAGTAGTAGTTTAACTTAAATTTATAAAATTTGACTAGTTTGAATTTGCTTTACACATTTTAAGGTTTTCCTTTTGTTGTTTCGCTTTTGCTTTTCGCCTTTTTTTGATTTTTCATTATCCTTTCATTTTGTTTTCCAGAAATAATTCACGTTCCCTCCAAAGGGGAGACACATTGCCGAGACTAAAAACTAATTAACATTAAAAGACATTTCTGTGGGTCGTGGGTGTGTGGCGGGGGGGTGCGTATGCCGTAAGCCTTAGCTAGAGAAATCGTTACAGATATTTTGTGATATTTGTGTATTGAGTATTTTGGATGTTAGATTTCAATCGTCGTACAGCTAAGGTATGCATATAAATTAGGACCACGTATAAATATAATACAATAAAAATAAGCTAAATTTAAGCCGAAAAAATATTAAAGTTTCAAAAAACCTTCTTTTCTTTTAGACATTATATCGTACATAAAACTAAGTATTTACAAGAATATATTCTCTCTGCTGGCTCTCTTCTTTAAGCTCTTTTTGTGGTCCGTGGGTATTTGGGTCCTTGGATAATTGTGTAATCGTTGGGTTGTTCGAACTGGGGGCTATCTATCCTCGTACATGATTTTCTTTATGTTTTCTTTTTTAATAAATGCGTCAATTTGCGACAGACAACGAGGGTACAACGAATATCCGCCGATAAATTCGACATATCTATCTTTACACATATACATATGTAGCTATGTTTGTGTACACATATATATATAATATATGTTTATTTATATATTTTAATTTAGACCTTGCTCTCGGGTCCATCGGCCACGTGCTTGAAGGCCAGACGTATGCGGGATAGATAGTGGGAGCAAATGTGCCCATAATTCTTGTTGTACCACTCAGGTGTTTTCCCCCTGAAAGTAGGCAATTATTTGAGTATTTTCTTGCGCTTTGCTGCATCCCGAAAGGATTTTTATTTGTGTACAAACAACTTACTTGACATCCACTCTGGCCAGGTGCATGACCCTCGATCTGCCACTGCCACAGGGCTCGATGAGATAGCGAGAGGCAAGAACTACGCCGCGCACTGCTCCATACAAAGGCTTGGCCTTGGCATTGTCAATGGAGGTCTCCACAATAACGCAGGCGCCACGCGGCAGATCCGTTTGCCAGGAACTGCGAAACATAATTATTGATTTGGGGTCTCTATAAGATGCGTTATAAGACTCACCGCAAGACACAAAAGTCCGTTGTTAGCTGCCCATCCAGGGCGTATTGGTAGATCTCGGTGCGATCGTCCAGCTTCTTGACTGTCTGGCACTGCAGCAGATTGGCGTCCCAGGAGGCGCGTTGCTTGATCACGTACTCGAGAACCTCGCGCGGGGGTCCCTCGATTTCCGTAGAGCAACGCCACAGACGCAGCGGATGACCATCGCCCACCTTCTTGTAGGCAATGTCCACACTGCTGTCATTCAGCGAATTGATGCTGAACCAGCCACGGGTTCTGTTTGGGCAAGGGATTAATTGGGGATTAGTTCAGGCAGGCAGGGCATTCGAGGGACACTCACTTCTCTCGGCCCTCCTTGATGGTGGCGCTGGTGCACTCGTAGAGATAGCCCCGCCAGTTGTGGAACTGCATGCCCTCGCCGAGGGCCTCCAGGGGCACCGGCTTCGACTCCTCCATGTAGCTGAAGTTGCACTTGCTCAGCTTCTCCTTGCCGGCCGTGTAGATTTGCTTGTAGTGCTCGATCATGAAGGAGAGGCACTCGTGCGAGGCCTTCGCCTCGGCCAGCTCCTTCATGTCCGGCATGCCGGTGCCCTTGCCCTTGCGGCGGGGCGAGGCGGACACCGAGGCCGAGCCCGTGGAAATGGACGAGTGGAAGATGGACTGGGCCAGACATACGCCCAGATTGTTGCTGGTCATTTGGTTCTGCTGCGAGTTGCCGGCGACAATGGTGAGGAACTCGAGCAGCACGTACAGGATCTCCCGGTTCTCATCCGGCAGCAGCAGCACCGCACACTGAATGGCATCCAGGCGCACCTCCGCAGGCAGATCTGCGTGGGGGGAAAGTACACAATGAGCAGCTAATAAAGGGGCAACTGACGGCTGGCTACTTACGCTGAAAGATGGCCACAAATGTCTCGGACATCTTGGTGGTTAGCAGAGATTCGGGCAGCTCGCGGAAGTACTGCTTCAGCATGTCGGCCACATCGTAGGCCTGCTGTAGATCAAACACGTCCATGCACTCGGCCGTGGAGTCGCTCACTTCGATCTGCTCGCGCAGCTTGATGATCCGCGACTTGCCGCCGCTCTTGCGGAACAGGCCCACCTGGTCGAGGGCGTTCAGCTGGAGCCACCGGAAGGCGGCGCGCACGGCCACGGGCAGCGTCTGGCCGCTGCGCTGCAGCACCAGCAGCAGTGGCACGCCAAACACCTTCTTGTCCTTGTAGTCGGGCATCTTGATCTTTTTGATGAACTTGGGCAGCTCCCAGTTCCAGCCGGAGCGATGGGTGGGACAGTAGCGCTCCATGTGGCCGGTGAGCGTGACCAGGGCCAGCTTGCGAATGATTTGTAGTTGACCCGCCGACATGGCGGCGAATGGAATGCCTGCATCCTCCTGCACCGGCTCGATCTTCTTCGAGAAACACTTGCGGAATATCATGTTGGGGCGCTCCTCCATCTGGAAGCTGTGCCAGCGCACCACCGGCTGCCGCTTCGATCCGGACCCGTTATTGGCGCCGCCACCGCCACCGCCGCCGCCACCCTGCTCATCGTCGTTCTTCGGCTCCTTGCGGGTGGTGCTGCGCGAACGGAACGAGGAAGTGCGGAAACCGTCACGTTTCTTGACATCTTTGCCCAGGTTCAGGGAGCCGCCGCGTGTCAGCTTCTTGATCTTCACCTCCGTCGTGTTCGAGTTGGCGTCCTTGATGAGCAGCTTGCGGCCCTGGTGGCACTCGGAGTCCGAGTGGGCTCCGATGTCGTCCACCTTGCCCGAGCGCTGCAGGAAGCGGCGCGCCTTCGAGGGCTTGCGCAGCGAGAGCTTGCCCCCCGTGGACGACTCCTGGCTGTCGCTGTAGTACGAGGAGGAGTCATCCGACTTGCCCTCCTTCAGCTGGGTCATGGGGTTCGAGAAGAAGTGCAGGGGGCTGGTGCGCATCGAGCGGGGCGTGGTCGGGGTGCGCTTCGGGCTGGCGCGGTTCGGGCTGAGGAAGTTCTCGCTGTGGCTGGGCACCTTCAGATCGTTGCCGAAGAACGGCGCCTTGGGGAATGTGTGCATCGGACTGAGCGCCGATGGGGAGGGCGGGGTGGAGTAGACTGCATCCGGTTTGCGGAGGCTGCTCCGCTGGCCCAGCTGTGAGAGATCCAGCACCTGGGGCCCACTGATCACCACGTTTTCCCGGTTCTGGCGCTTGCGCCGCCTCGACTTGATGGACTCGACTCGTCGCAGGAATGCCTTGGCGCCGTCCTTGATGCGTTCACTGCCAGTGCGTCGCAAGCGGCCAGCCGAATCGGAGCCATCGCCCAGGGAGGAGCCGTCGGTGGTGCCGGTGGAGGTCTTGCTGCAGCCCGGTATCATGAGGGTGATGCCAGCGCCGCCCATATCGTAGCCGTCGTCCTCGAACCGGTCGGGACTCGACTCCTTCGAGGAGCTTTCCGTCTTCTCCAGATTGAGCAGACCCGGCGGCGGCAGCTCCAGGCCCATCTCCCCGATGCGCGACCAGCGTCGAATGTGCGGTTGGAATGTCCAGTTCTCGCTCAGGGCGAAGTTCTCATCGTCCGATTCCTCCTTTTGCTGTGCGTAGAGGGCGTGGCAGGGGGTTAGGGTTTGGGTTACTCACACTGTGGCTATGGTGGGTGGAGGGTGTTGGAGGGGTGGGGCGGTGCTTACCTGTGGTGTTTGCGGTTTGTGCGATTGATCCAGCCGCATGGTGGCGCAACGATTGAGGACACAGAGCCGCCTGTACAGGGACTGCAGCTGATCGTTCTCCAGGTTGGTGTGATCTTTGGCTACATTGTTCAGATCGATCGGAAACTGATGGTCTGCAAAGTCAAACAAAGGACGATTATTAGTTAGGGCTGGAGAGCTCTCCGATCGTGTTCTCCTTGCGACCGCACGCCTCGACGACGCGTGAAATTCTAATTGAGAAACGAGAAAAATCGAACGCCCATGGCGCCAGCATCTGCCATGGATAGCTGGATGGCTGGATGGTTGGTTGGTCATTAAACGGGTACGCCGCGGCAGCAGCCAGCAGCCAGCAGCCGCATTTTCACAGCGTTTTTCCACATATTTGCGTGGCCAATTCGCACGTAGGAAATCAAGTTCCAAGGCGAGACCACATAAGGCCGGCCAGATACGATACCCCCAGACGTGTACACATGTCGCGACGCGTCACACAGATACACCGATACCGATTGCAGATACGACGCTGTACAGCCTGCCATCCATCCGTAGGATGTACAGCCTGGAAAAGCTGCCCCCTGCCTGATCCCCGACTGCTGCTGCCTCTGCTGCTGCTGATGCTGCATTGTTTGTACAAATATTGTTGGCATTACAACAATATTTTGTTCTTCTTGGGAAAGCCATTCATGGTTTGTTGAACTTTCGGCTCAAAGTACGACTCGCCTCTCTTTGGTACTGTACTTGCAGGGCGGGCAGGAGAACCAAATGAAAAGAGCTTTATTTAGTTTTGTTTACGTGCGCTCTTGGCCCTGCCCGGCAGGGTATTAATATGAACATTTAAGTACTATTATTTAGCGTAGTGATTCTGATTCTGCTGCTGCCTCTGCTTTGCTTTCCTTTCCCAAGTGCTGTATGTTTAGTTTCTAATTGAATGCGTTGCTCTTTGATGCCAGGGAAATAAACAAAATCGCGCCCGCCCGATCATTGGAGACCCAATTCTGGGAGTGTGCCACTTAATGGTTAAATAACACCCTGGGGGGATGCTGAACCCGGCAGACACCTTTCGATTTGATCTCAGTGCAGTTGGCTGCTTGACGTCAGAGAGAAATTATTTGGAAATGATTTTTTCCCCACTTTTTACAGCAGTTTACATGGAGGGAGTGGAGGGAGTGCAGGTAGAAGAGGGGCTGCTGGGTGCTGGTTGTGCTGTTCGTTTATTAGGCCAATTATATGATTAATCTTTTGCTCTCAGCCAATGACGCAGATTGCAGTGAAATTTTCGATTGTAATTACGTAAAATTTATGGGCCTTTTTTGGGCAGAAAATATAGAAGGCAATTAGCCTGGAATCCAAATTGAGAATGGAAAAATTTTATGGAACCTAAATTAATATTCCTAGAACTATTCAGATTATTTTTAGGTTCCCAATTCATAAAAATCTTCATTTAAAAATGCACCAAAATGCATTTGCATCCCCACAGTTTTTTATGAAGCGTTTTTTGCTCACATAACAAACCAGTTTCGAATGGCATGGTAGAATTACAGCATCCCCCCTGCCATACGCTCTTATTGCCCTTTTAAGCACTCCCATATGATCCTGGGCCATGGCGCAGGTCACACCCTCAAATTAAGTCTGCCACTTTCGGTGAATAATGTGCGTAAGAAATGAACAAAAAACAAACAAAGCATACAAAAAAGAGCCAAGAGCAAGCTGTCCCAGCAAAACCTTAAGCAAATTAACAGTCGCTTACGGATGGTACACCTCCTTTCAGCAGAGACCTCAGCCTCAGACTCAGACCCAGGCCAGACCACATCCATGAGGTGACTGCAAATGACAGAGCAGAGCAACGCAGAGCAGAGACAGCGGCAGAGACATGGCTTAAACACCTACGGCATTTTAATTTGCAGACTGCAGACTGAACCAAAAAACCCAACCCAAACCAACCCAAAAGAATCCACCAAAATCCTGGCCCTGCCAGCCTGGAAATTTGAGCAGCAATCTGCGCATGCGCCGCTGCCTTGTTTACACGAAACTCATTAAAATACGCATTTATCATGCTGTCCCCCGCCATAAGGATGGCAATGCAGATGAAGATGGGATTGGACTTAGCCAGAGTCAGAGTTTCAGCCTGTGCATGGGGCTGGGCATGGGTTGGGTTGGGCTCCAGTTTAAATGTGTGCACAAATTATTCCGCAAGTTGCGCGGATTTGGATACTTGGTTCTACCTTCCAATGCTGGCGAATTTATGCAATACAATTCGCATATTTCAAGGTCGGCGACAGCCATACATCGGGCGCCCCGGGACATGCCCAAATTGCAGGCTCTCCATTTCAGATTCACTTTTTTGTTCTGTCTTTTTTTATCTGCATGCTTTTGGCTGTGGCTCATAATTCAAATGAAGTCGGCGAACTTTTAGCTTGGACTGTGTGTGTGTGTGAATGCTGGCTTAAGAGTGTTCTTTTCGGGCTTATTTGTTTGAATTCGCTCAGATCTGCTGCTGCTGCTTCTGCTCGGTCCGCTCATCCATCTGAGTGGCCTTCAGGCGTTAAATGCGTTGCGACAAATGCTCAAGAGAAGGGTCCCCAGTTCCCTTCTCGATTAAGGAAATCAAATAAATATGCAGCTTGCTTCGGTTCGGTTTGGTTTGGTTCGGGGGTTCATTGAACTGATACTAACATTTTGGCTGGTGGCTTGTGGCTGGTGGCTGTAGGGGCCTTTGCCCTTTCTTAAACCAAAACTAAGAAAAAAAAAAGGATCGGGGGCAAGGCAAGAAAAAAAAACCCAAACCATTTTAATTTTCGGGTAGTCGTCTTTTTTTATATGAAGGTGGTCCTCATAAATTCTTTGGGCTGCGTGTCCTTTAGCCTTTTATTATATTTTATCTGAGCTGGAGATGCCTCACGAGTGGATTTTTTTTCGCATTGTTTTGTTTTGGTTTTTGTTTCGTTTTGTTTTTGTTTTGGGTTAAATTCTTGAGATTGCCACGATCTGGGCCCAAAAGGTAGGCGTTCCTTGGCTTTCGTTTTCGCTTGAAAGGATTGAGGTCTGATCCGTTGCCGCCTAATTGTTTGTCGCGGCGGCGGCGTGTTTCGGATATCAAATTCACTTGGGCTATCATGTCCAGAGCGCTGCTCTGCTTTGACTGGTGTTGAAACCTTTGAGGCCTCGTGGCACTGGCACTGGCACTGGGCCCTTTGCTCTACTTAGGCTGGTGTTGAAATCTGTAGACTGGGACTCTCCTCTGGCCTGCTGAGGCGGCACTTAAATTGTTCTCCGATGTTGCCACGTCATAAATGCTGACCTGAGCAGGGGGGTGGGGGGGAGGGAGGACTCACTGTTTCCCGAAGCGAAAGTGAAAGTTCGTGTAATAAAATTAATAAAACGCCACTTGGGGAGCGCTAAGCATATAAAGCTAAATGGTGGCATGTTGGTCAAGTGCCTTGGATTCGGTCTGCTGCTGCTGCCGCACTGCTGCTGCGTCACTGCTGATGACGAGACCATCAATTACCAGCATGCCATGCCACGCCCCCATGTTTACACGACATGGCTACACAGCCCTTTAAGAGCCCAGAGAGCCGGAAGTGCGTAACAGGAATGGAATAAAAATAGGGATAGGGTTTGGGTTTGGGTTCGGACTTACCTTCGTACATCTGGGCATATTGCGGAAAACCTGCAGCACGCAGCCATTTGCAAGCTTCCACGGCTTCGATTTCTGCAAAAGAGTAAAAAATCGAATCAGTTTCCATATACAGCGTGTACGCAGAAAACGAAATTAATTGTAATCAAATTTTCCGGGGAATCCTTTTGGGCCGCAAACAAAATTCAATAGCCCGGACCTGCCTGCGAAAACTAATTAAAGTCCAGTCGCGGTCCTGAGTCCAGTCTCTGGCAGCAAAGTTCCTGCTTCCCAGCTCAGGCTGCTCTGCTGCTTCATGGTCAGCGGTTGATGGATTATGTTGCAACCCGTCCAAATGATGTTAACATTTAAAAATTATGTAGCTGCGGTCAGTCTCTCTCTTTTTTTGTTGTCTTTAAATTGTATTCTGCCCTCACCTTAACACAGCAACAAAAACAGCAGCAGAAACAACAGCAGAAACAGCCGAAAAATAAAAACCAAAACAAAACAAAAAAACCTCCTCCTTTACAGCCCCAAGTGCTTGAGATGACATGAAAGTAAAAGTTTCGGAGAATATTTTTCGCAATGCTTGAGAGTGAAATGATTGAGTGGTGTGTGTCGGATATAACAATGGGGGGGTGCTTATGGCTGCTTATATGGTTGCTTATAAGTTTAAACTCGTGCAGAGGATTCCAGCCCAGATTAAGACTCTTATTTGTGTTTCATAACGGCCTGTGCTTCGGGCTCTTTGGGCTAATTTGAGTTAGACAGGCAAAGAAGATGGCAAAAAACCCACTGAACCGAAGAAAACAAATGTAAGTCATGGCTGACATATATCTACCCTGTAAATGGTGCAACTATAACTTTAACTATACTACAAAATTTTCTTAATCAGCATCAATACCCACCAACGGTGGGTAAACATTTTTTTCACGAAAATAAAAGGAAAGACATCTGCCAGGGTATCTTTCGATTGGAATACCCAAGATGGGTTCGCTTTGTTTTCATCTTTTGCATGATTATGTTGATGCCTCAATAAGCAGCAAGGGAATATCCAGTCGAAGCCCGTCAACAGATACTTTTGCGAAATGAATTCCAATCGAATTTCGAGCCATAAACAAAGGCAGCGATGCGATTGTCTAGCCAGGGGATTGCCAACCAATTTGTGGCAGCAGCAGCCCCCGTCTCGGTCTCGGTCTCGCTCTCGGTCTTAGCCTCCTGTTTCAGCTATTTTGAAATGCTAATCTGTGCGCTGGCTCAATCCGAGCAACAGGATCTGCAGAGGAGCAGAGCAGAGCTATCGATTTTTAATCAACCTCAGTGAGCGACAACATGAAACAGTTTCCGGCTGCTAACTGTCAGCAGGGACTTGTGCCCGACGATGCTGATGCCGATGGGGGATGAGGCGGGGACTCACGGTGAATTATTATTGAATTTTGCAAGCGATTAACTTGCTCGACAACGCCAGGAGCGAAACGGAACGGACCGAAGCGGCACAGGCCACTGAGGCGGACGACAGTCACCTGTATGTGGGGGGGCATGACACCTGTCCCGGCGCATTTCCTCCGGTGGTTGTGCTTCTACTACTGCATTTATTTATAGCCCAGAGCAACCCTTCTGGCATCGATTTATGCTGGCATTCTGACAGCTGAAACACACGTCGGAGTCCGGACGCTTGACCTGCTTGGAGCGGATCTTGGCCTGACGCCAAGCGCCTGACTTATTCAATTAGAGCAAACCAAAACAATTATAGCAAACTGTAACCACAATTATTCTTACTATCGCAACACTGGAAATAGCCAAATATCGGAAGAGTCATTAACCAGCGCGGGGAACCAGCACAGGCTGCCATCCCTAACACATTCTAAAGCCATTTAAAGCGAACACCACAATACTCGTACGCATGTGTGTGTGTGGGGGCCACGGCACTGCTCCGCATATTGCGTGAGGGGGCTCAATATTTGTTCATGTTCAAACGCACAGCCAACAAACGCCCCAAAGTGTCCTGTCCTTATTGTGCTGTACGCTCCTCCTCTGGCTGGTAGCACTCGAAGCCAGGGCCATCGGGGACTGTTAAAACAAGCGACGCGTAAATTCATGAAGTTCACCTACGCTCTGGATAATAATTATTCTGATGGACCCCGGAGCAGGACCTGGACCTGTACCCGAACCCGCACCCAGAGCAGGACACAGAAATACAGGTACATATTGGAGTCCTTCATGCATGCATGGGCGTGCGGAACATGAGACCCGATGCGAGGCTGGTCAAAGCTTACACGGAATGCCAGGGCTGACTTTAAGGATAATTAAAATTATATATGTATGTATAAAATGAATGCCCTTCTACTTTTGCGAGTTCTCAGTATTTAAAAACGAGCACTTTGTGGTTCGAAATTGAGCGGGGAAATTCAACAAACTTTAATTGACGGCTTAAAGGTTAAATCCACATGGCAATGGCTAGGGACGAACTAATTTAATTGTCATTATTTTTTCGGGTGTTCACCAACTGCCAAAAGATATATTTTCATCAATTTGTAGACCATTTGATTTCAGCTTAAAGTTCATTTTGCAGACGAAACTTATTTAAAAATCCATTCCATTTTCCCAACAGAATTATCTGGGGTATCTGAACTTCTAATCCTGCATAACTTTATCCATGCCCAGCATTAGCTATTTAATCTATACTCGAACTCCTGACGCATCGCAGTTCTTGTTCCCTTTGTTCTTCGTTAAATTTGTTAAAGATTTCAATTAAAATTTGCATTGATTTGCAAGCACTGCCACCAAGGCAGACGCAGACAGGGGAATGCTGTGGCGGAGTCCTGGCAGGGTAAAGTGTCAATGGAAGGCAATGGCAGGCAGAGTTCCCCAGCCACGTACTCTGCCAAGTTGATTGTGGGTGAATGTTAGTGACACGCTTTGTCTTGTCTTGCTATGTGAGTGTGCTCTGCTCTGCTCTGCTCCAGAAAAATGCAGCCAGGCGGAGCGGGAGCGAGTGCGAGAGCGGCAGTGACAATGTATGTAGATGGCACACTCAGATACGCAGATACACACAGATACGCACAGCTACACGGATACAGACTTGATTATGATGGCTTACAAGGGACGGACTAGTTATGCAAAGGGGTGGGCTCTGGGTGGTCCTGCCAAGGCAACCGATAGAGAGATAGAACTATGGCACGATTCTATGGCATGTGCCTCATGGCACCCATTGCATTCATCTCTGTGACGCCTTGGTTACACATCTGCCGGAGATGAATTTTCGTACCAATTTAACTTTGAGCCAAAAACTTTAACCTGATTTAATGCGATTAAACGTCCAAAAACGTTGGGGCAGTAAAAGCTTTGACCTTTTACGGGATAATTCTATATGGCAAATTGAATTTACTTCGTGTTGGACACTAATTGATAGTTAATTCAGTTGCCACAGGCTGGCCACATTATTCAGCAATTTTGCTGTTAATTTTGCCCGCTAAACGCTTTCATATGGCAAATTATGCTGCCCATATACGAGACAGCAAAAATTGCATTGCCCCGGGAACAATACTCGTAACGTTTTACAGCCTCGTAAATGCAAAATGAATGGCGTGAAATATGTTTGGACCCCACTCGAGTGCAACAGAATTTAGATAAATAATTCAATAATATGCAGCTCTTTGTTTCTGCTTTTGTTTTTGTTTTAGCCTTTAATTGTCGTAGGTGTCTTGCCATTAATTAATTGTTTGACTGTCTCTCTCTCTCTCTTGCTCTAGCTCTCGCTCTGTTTTTGCCTGTTTGCTGCTGGCTCCTGCATTGCATTGCATGTCCCCTGTAGCTGCATTTAAATGTCAGTCGAAACATAAATTTTATTCAGACGTGACAGGCTCGTTGCCTTGGTAAGCCATCAAAGAGAATGCTGTGTGCTGTGCTGCGCTGTGCCAGAGTTGAGTATTAATTATAAATGGCACACCCGACCAGAAATAGAACCGAACCGACAAAAGTGCACAAATTTCTACACTTGAACTTGTAATTTCAGTTTCCTTTCGGAATAGAGTTGCCTACACGGGCACGGGCACGGCACAGATGTACGAGTATAAATAGCAATGGCAACCCCGACATGTGTAACCTTTTCCTCTTCACTGGGCACACAAAGCTTTCCTGCCTGCTTTCCTGCTTTCCTGCCTTCCTGCCTGCCTGGCAAAGGATCAAGTTATTTATATATTTAACTGGTCCATAAATGGGCACCCCATCCTCTTGGCTACTTACTACCCATTCGAAAGGGGAGTGCCAAGACTGGGTGCAACAAGTGGCAGGACGTCAGCTTAATTTGCTGTGAACTCTGCAGCAATGGGTTGGGCTGCTTGTTCGCCTCACTGCCTGCCTGCCTCGCTGCCTGCCTGGCTGCCTGCCACTTTCGTTCGCTTGGGGCGGCATGTAAACTCTTGAGCATAACTACTCTGTAATAGGGAGGCCAAGTACAGCCCAAAGAACACAGTTCCAGCAGCAGCAACCCCTGGGCACTGAGCACCCTGAGCCTCAAAATATTTCAACCAAATACAACAGATCATTGAGCTTTTAATGCGATTTTAATGTCAGAATATTTCCTGCTGAGCGCACAACAAATATAATTTCGGCAACAAACAATTTTTGCATACGCAAAAAAAAACAATTAAAAAACAGCCAAACAAAGCATTTAGAAGAGAGCTTGTTGAAAATGTATAAACGTAATTTTGTTATGGCCTTAAAGTGGCGAAGGAAAATGTATTGGAATTTAAATAGCAAAAACAGCAGAAAAAAAATGCAAAACGGTAATCTGCTGAATGGTAACAGGTGGGTCTCCATTCCGTGGAATCTAGATGGCCCCACGGAAGTCCCATGGGACCCATAAAGGATGCTAATGTCAAAGGCAACCATGGAATGCATTTGTGAAAGGTTATCGTGGAAGCAGAAAGCAGAAGGAGTAATCTCTGCTAAAAATGCAAAATAAAGATTTTTTGTGGAGTAGAAAAACCGTCAAAGCACATTCAAATCTCGATGGAAATTTCTTAGAACTATGCACAGGACATTTGACTCATTAGACTGTGGAGTTGTGTGATTTTGAACATGAGGAAAGTTTTCCCAGTAGATGTTTGTATAAACAGCAATTAAAACTTTAAATTTCCTATTACTTATTTCTTTCTTTTTACTGAGCTTTTATCAGCAATTATTTTGCATACCGTTTCCTGGAATCGAGACCATTAAGGGTAGCATTAGTTGTTCAGCTTTCTTGGAATTGGGTAACTACACAAATGGCACAAATGGGAACTTTCCGACTCTATTTCGGTTTAAAGTCTGACATTTTTCACTGAAATTCAGGACCACAAAGAGCACTCAATGTTACCAGCTACTGCCCTGCGAATGCCCCAAACTGGCTGAACTCGGAAGTATCTTGAATGCCATAAATATGAGATTCCAATTGGCCATTCGCTGATGTATACAATGTAAGCCGCAATATATTTTTGGAGGCACGAACCGTGGAGGCAGGTACGGCTATAATTTACTTTGTTTGCTGGCTCGTTTTTTGTGCTGCCTCTCTCATGTTTTGTTGCTTGTTTTTTACTCGCTCCCGAAATATATACCTACATATTAATTGTATAATAATTTTTTTCCATTTATTACTACATGCGAAACAATTTTCTTTATTTAAATGAATGGCTTTGCTTGACTGGCGCGCAATTTCACTTGAGTGTAAAGAAAATGATTATGATGATGGTGGGGCATACACATATAAACATATACATATGTATACATATATATATGTATGTATTGTATGTAGATAACATTGTGGCGCAGACTGACTGTCGTCCAGTGAGTGATTGAATAGAGTGGACTGGAGTGACTGACTGACTGGATGACAGACAGACAGATGTAACAAGTTGCAAACGAGAGACAGGCTGGCCATATTAGCTGGCCGTCTGAACACTTGTTGCCATTCCCCATTACTATTCCATGGAATAATTCGATTTTGAGGCGAGCCATCGACTGATGGGTCCAGGCTGTGCTGGAAATAGCCATGCTCCGCATTCTTATTCCCGAAATAGCTAATTGTAGGTGGAAAATGGGAGGGGGAGGGAAAACCATCATCGGGTGCGGAAAAACAATAAACAGCAAGCGGCGGGCGGCCCAAGTGGCGCGCGCGCATTCCTCGCCCCACACTCAGAAATGATCCCGCAGACAGGCGGACAGGCGGACAGCCATATATTTTTCTCTAATTGTATACAAAAAGTTTTCATAATTTTCCAGCCGACAAGCGCTGGCAAAACAAAACTGCCCTTGAGCCAATGGAAAAGCCATTCGAATCGCTCTCACCTGCAATCTTGCGTTCGCGCATTTTTCGCCATAACGCCTCGGCCTTGCGCTTGGGCCAATTCTCGAATTTCTGCGAGAAGCTCCTGAAGAACTTATACTCGCGTATGGTGATGGACATGCGGCGTTGCATATTGGCCAGCTTGGGAAGCGCCGTCTTGACGGGATCGCACACAAATCACTTAAAAAATTCCCAACAGGCTATGGCCTGGAGTAGTTGTTGTGGTTTTTCTGCTAAAGCAGTTCAAGCCAGATCCATGTAGAAGTAACTACAGCAACACTGGCAGATATTCATTCCATTGTACGAACAGACACAGAATGCACCAACACGCACACACACACACATACACAGACACACGCACACACGAGTAGTTGGGGGCTTTGGCCTTTGATTTTTCTAAATTTTCTTTTTGATATTTCAAAATGCCGTTACAAACTGAGTCGTCGGCGTCGACGCGCTCCACCCGAGAGTTTCCGTTTCCCGTTGCGGCCACGAAAATCAACAACCGTGCACGGCGCCTGTAAGAGCACTAATGAATTTGCCAACGCGCCCGTTCGTGGCAAAATGGCGAGCCGTGCGGGCCCAGCCCGGCCCGGCCCGAGTGCAGCCGAACCGAAAAACGAAGCATCAGCCACACGGGGCGTATGAGCAATGTTTTCTGTTCTGTTGTCAGCGAATGATGTACTGCTGTTTTTCTTCACTGATTCTTTGGGGGATGGGATGGGATGGGATGGTACTCGTACCCATCCTTTCCATATAGCTCTATCGGCGCCACAATCGCTTATTATATTCTGTGGTTAGTTGGCCAGGGCCAATGCCTGAGGACAGGACAGAACGGAGACGGGAAACGGACAGGTCCGTCGGCACAAGCAAATAAATAAATAAATTGAAGAACTGCCTGTTGTTGGCCGTTGATGAGGTTTATTTCATTTTCGTGCTAACAAAAAGGACACACACACACACACACACACACACAGCACACACATACATATACAGAAGGAAATGTAAGCTTATGTTTTTAGTTTTGTTTTTATGGGGGGCATTCATTAAAATTCATACATTTACAGACATTGCCTTGGCCAAAGAGCCGCACCGCACCTGTTGCTCACCGTTGGCTTGTGGGTGTGCGTCTGGGTGGCTCTGTGCTCGGTTCATATATAAAGTTGTGTGGGCCCGGAGTGGGTGCGGGTGGGCCTGCCACAGTTGGTTTGGCACAGTTGTACGATGAGTTTCAAGGCTGAGCCTTTGCTTTGTTGCATGATTTATGGAAAACTAAAGGCACTGGCCGACGTTTGATGATTCAGTTGTGTGTCGGGCGGGCGGGCACACATTTGCTTAATAGCCAACAGTTCTAATCGAACAAGTGCAGGCACTTTGTGAGTTACAAAAACAGCTGCCGCAGGTTTACTTACGGATTACACTTCACTTATGTCGAGTTTTCTCAGAGGCGTTCGGCTGGGATGGGATGGGGGTGTAAAGAAGCGAATCTCATGCTCATACGCTGAAAGCGATTAATTGGGTAAACAGGAAAATTATGAACGCAAAATCATTGCCAGTCACGGTTACATTATTTCCCATTAATCTACTCCCTCATGTGGTTAGGTGTAGGGGGCGGTGGGGAGGTGTGTATGACTTGGTGCGGAAGACGGAACACGACATGGACACATGCTCGACATCGGCGCATTATATTCCGTATTCTCTTGAGCCATAGCCACAGCCACAGCCACATAGTCTTTTGTGTATATAAAAGACACACTCGTCGCACTCGTATATATGTAGAATAAAATATATATGCTTGCTGGTCATTTGTATTTGTGCAATATCAGATATAAATCATGATATATATCTACCCGTACTGTGTGTTAATCTTTTCAATAAAATAAACAACGGCAACGAGTGCTTCTTGGGTTGTCTGCTTCCGTTATGGAACAACAATGATGATGAGCCCCGATATAACAATCCCATCTTTCACTCCCACTCCCTCTCCCTCTCGCTCTCTATGTCTCGCTCCGGTTTCGAGTCAGTCATTATTGACATCGGGGCGTATACGCAATGAAAAACGTACACAAAAAATTGGCAATATACTCGTAAATACGCATAATGCGAGAGTAAATAAAATGATAATATGATGAAGGCCAAGACTAGCGGAACAGTGGCCAGCGACCTTTTTGAGAGGGCAAGACGTCACTCCAGTGACGTCAGGAGCGACATCATCATCACTGAAGCGAAAGGAAATGGAAATGGCAAGCAAACACTCAGATAATGGTTCTCAAATGACCACTGTGCTGTGGCGCCACCACTCTGACGTCATGGCACTAGATTGCCACTGCCACAGCATCGGCTTCTCCTGGTCCCGATGAAGCTCAGCTCGGACTGTGCTTCTCCAGCTTCGCTCCTCTTGCTCAGCCTGCTTCTGCTTCTGCTCCTGCTCTTCTGTGTGTGTGTGTGTGTGCATAATTCGATAGCGAGAACGCAGTCATGCTGCAAAAGCGAAATTGAATGATGCTGTTGGTTGCCGGACAGTCAGGAGTCGAGGCACCAGCGGAGTCGAAGGCACTTTGGCGTCCAGTTTGTGATTGAATTTTTTGTTCATTTATACGCCATTTTTAGCACAAAGAGTGCCATCATCATCAGCATCATCCCCATCCCCCATTCCACACCCAAACACCCAATACGCTGGACAAGAGCAGGCAGGCAGGCAGGCAGGCAGGCACAATATGTGGATAGATATGTCTATGTATTTGTATGAGTCTCGAGAGTGAGAGTGAGAGTGAGCGTGTGTATGGTCTGTACAATTGACAGATTGACAGCCATTTTCGGTTTGGGGAATGGGAACTGTGCGATTGGGGTATTGCGGGTGTGAGGCCTGCGCCGATTCCATTCAAGTGTTGACGGAAGTGTTGGATATTCGCAAAAAGAGCGGCGCCAGCGCCAGCAGCAGCAGCAGCAGCAGCAGCAGCCGTTGTTGATATTCCTTTTGCTGGCCCAAAAGAACATGAAAGTAATTTAAACGATGGCCTTGATTGGCTGCAATTGTTTGCCGAAATGAAAGCATTTGATTTCGATGCCAACAAAGTAAACGATGGAGTGTGAATAGGGAATGGGTGTGGGAATGGGCCAGTCCCTAGTCTACTCTACTCGTATCATATATAGATCAGATCAGGCTCTCCTCTCGCATAATTATAGAAATTATGAGTCATGCCCCGGCACACTGTTATTATAAACCACTCAGGCTTAATAACAGTCCGCTAATTGGCTGGCAGGACCACCGGCACACATCAAATCAGACATCAAGTCAGCCTTGATGTCGGGCTAGTTGTGGGTCATCCGGCCGCGGGGGTTCTGCCTGGGCCATTTAAATAACTCATTTAGTCCCGGCTGTGCAAAAGGAAGAAGAACTCGTTGCCACAGCCGCAGCCACAGCCACAGCCACTCACCTGCTAAATAGCGATCACTCTGCGAACGAGAATAGCGCAGCGTCTGTGGGAAAGAGAGAGAGAGAATGAGCATTAATGTCTGGCAATCAAGTTTATGCGAGGGTGTTTCAAGGAGTTCTACATATACATATATGCCATGGCCTACGAGGCAGGCTTCTGGCATCCGATCCACAAAAGGGAATAAGAGGAAATATTATTATGCCAATCAATCGACCTATAAAGCCTTTAAATTAATTTAATTATATTTTCTCCTTCTACAAGTTATCATTTCTCTGGCCTATGCCTCACTGTGTCCACAGTCAACCCTCGCTGGGGTATCAGTGTCGTGGATACTCACCAAATGGTGGGCAGCAAAGTCATCGTATCGTCTGCTCAGTTCGCGCTCCTTGAGCAGCAGCGGGGCCGAGTTGGACTTGGTGGTGAGCTCCGGTATGCCGCCGGAGTCGCCCAGATTGCTGTGCAGCGAGGCGCTGCTCGGCGAGGGCAGCTCCACAAAGTGATGCAGCTGCGTGACCGTGGTGGCCGTGGGCGAGAGCAGCGACTGGAAGGGCTCCTGTCGCAGGGCTAGGGAGAGCTGGGCCCGCTCCTTGTTGCCGCTGACATTGGCGTTGCGGGGCAGCAGCTTGCGTGGCTGCAACATGTGCAGGTGCTGGTGATAGTGGTCCAGGGAGTGACTCCGCTGACTGCGCTGACGGCCGCCGCAGGGCACCAGGATGGGCGGCGGGGCGATGTACTTGCGGCGCAGCACCACGGGCGTGGCCATGGAGGCAGTGCCTCCGCCGCTGGCGCTGCTGGCATCGCCGTCCGTGCAGTCACAGTCGCAGATGTGCTGGCCCAGCTCGAACTCGTCGTGGCACTCGTCGTAGTCGCTGGGCTTGCTGCCGGACTTTTGCTTCACGGCCTCCGGCTCATCCAGCATATCGTCCTGGGACTCGTTGGCCGCCTCTGCCTCCGCCTCGGGCTCGCCGCCGCTGCCGCACTGGCTGAGCACCTCGAGGAGATCGGGATCGTCGGAGGAGGCCACCGAGCCGCTCTTCTGGAACTTCATCTTGCGCAGCGCCTCCAGGCTGCTCACCGACTCATTGTCCGGCCCACTGCGGTCGCCCGCTCTATGATGATGATGATGGTGGTGGTGGTGGTGGTGATGGTGCTGCAGGTGGTGGCTCTTCCAGTGGGACATGTCCTTGGGCGGGGTGGCTGTGCCAATGCCGCTCTCGTTGTTGTCGTTGTCCAGGCCCGAGGAGTCCAGTGAGATGCCCGACTTGCCGGAACTGAGAACACCTGTCGCCTCCTCGCAGGCAGACGACGACGAAGTGGAGCTGCAACGAGTGGGTAGCGGGGAGCGGGGATAGACAGATTGACAAATCAATATTGATGGACCCATATTAATGACTTCATTGCCAGTTTCCTGGGCCTGATACTCACTTATTGTCTTCATCGACGGCGCCAACGCTGCGGAGTATGGACTCCTCCGATGTCCAAATTGTCGATGTGGATCCTTTTTTGGTCACATCCACCAGGTAGCCGGGCGTGGCCGTACCTTTCGTTGCTGTCGTTGCTGCAGGTCCATGTCCAGCTATCGATGCCGCTGCCGCTGCCGATGCGGATGCTGGCGGTGGGGTTATGGCATTTCTGTTCGTCAATGGGGAGGCCGTCGCATGATTAATGCCCACCCGTTTTGGCATCGACATGGGCATAGATGCTGCCGCAATCATCGTCGTCGTCGTTGTCGTTGGGGCCAGCATTGTCTCCATGTCGCTGGTGCTCAATTGACGCTGTCGCCTAGATTTCAAATCCTCGATGGTGGTCGCTGTCGCTGGTTCACCTGTTGCCGCTGCCAGCTCCTCGATTTTCAATGCACTTTGGAAATTTGTCAGCTTATGAGCCGGCGGTGTCGTCGTCGTCGTCGTCTCCATCGTCGTTGCATGGCCATTAAATGTGCTCCCAGCCAGACTCTTGCGCTGGCTCTGCGCCATGACTGGAGCTGCTCCTCCAGCATGGCCATTCGGCGCCGAGAGGGTGCGCATATAGGCAACATTCGATTTGGTGGCTGGCAACAGCGTCGCCTCGCTGCGTCCGCAATCAAGGTTAAACGATTGCAGTGGAATGGTGGCCTGGAAGAAGACACAGCACAGCACAGAATGAACAAACTTATTAAAATATAGTCAGTCGGGTTTAATAAAGAAAAGTCGACACTGAGTGCCGCTGACAGTTTCGAGGGCCGAACAGAGCCGCTCCACAGACTATCACAGCCAGTGCTCCCGCCCCTTCCCCCCCATCCCTTCAACATCTACAAGGCAGGACCTTGAATGTATAATGAGAGTGGAGATCTGGAAGCTGGAGGCTGGAGGCTGGCTAGCTATGTAGCTGCTACCTTGTTGGGCAGCAACAGCAGCAGCATCAGCCCACAGAGACAATGCTAAAAAGGAAACATCAGCGGAATTTTTAGACATTGTCAAGTGGCTACCCAGGAATTTTCGTACTTTATGCAAATCTAAGAGGCAGTTAAGAGTTTTTTGTTTTTTCTTCTTTTATTTTTTGTATTTCTGTGGAACTTCACAAAGGCACAACTCAATGGACCCCGACGCACTACAGAATCTTCGCTCTGAACAAATGTGTCCTATTGTTATGGCTTATGATTTATATGCCGCCTCTGATAACAGCAGCAGCAGCAGCAGCAGCAGCAGCAGCGGTAGCAGCCTTCTAGGAACTCTTTTTTTTCTCTCTCCCTGTCTTTGATCTTGAATCTGTTCCATGGTTCTACACATTTTCCTGGGCATGTGCCACAGCGGATAAGTGCGTTATGTTAATAAAATGTCTTTGGCAAGCTTTTGACAATTTGTTTTGACAGAAAAAATGCAATATTAAAAAATAAGAAAAAAAAGAGAGAGAAAATGGAGAAAAGAGAGAAAAGCTATGACAGCAACAAGCGGAAATTGATATTAATGATTTATGGGTGGAAAAATTGTCTATGTGTTGTATGTGTGTGTGTGTGTGTGCGCCTCAAAGCAACGCATTTTTACAGACCGCAGCTATGTAGTTGTTGCCGTTGGATTGCTGCCAGTGCTGCAGGTTGCTTTTGCTGTTGCTGTTGCCGTTGCCTTTGACGCTGATTCTGTGGCAGGAAAACGCTCAACTCCCTCGGGGGGAGCAAAAAGTAAATCAAGATGGAAACGAGCCAAGGCTGAGGGTGAACCTGTGCTATTGACTGACACTCGCCTGTCCGAGATTCACTCAGCGAATCGATAAGCAACAGCAACCATAGCAACCAGCCGTAAATAAGAGCACAGCAACGAAATGCATCAATTTGCATCAGAGTATTTAAGGGGGGACTTTCATTTAACATTCTGTGTTTAGGGAACTTAAAGGCAGCTCTGCTCTGCTTTAAAACTGTGGTGGCAGACGACGCCTGACCAAATATAGTCGATTATTCGATCACAGGATGCGGATGCAGGCAGGCTAAGGTGGTCAGACGCTGTGGTTGTGATGTGTGATGCCTCTCCTGTCCGATGTCAGATGTGTGGTCCTTTGGGAATATGACAGGACAGACACATCTGTTGCTGTTTTCGAAATCACAATTTGTAATGCATTATGGAGCAGTCTCTGTCTCCGTCTGCCCAGCCTGTTACGGCCATGTCTATGAATTATTAATAAAGCCTGATGTTGGCCCCGATGCTGATGACGATGGCCCGATGCCGATTCCATCAAAAACCCAACTGCGTGTTAATGAGCCGCCAACTCTCCGCCGGCGGACGCAATAATTGGGCGTCCGGATCATTGTCGTTTATGGGCATGGCTACGCATCGGGCTATTTAAAGGCAGGCGGGCGCCACAGCCACAGACGCAGCAACCGATGCTCCCCCAGCTACAGCTACAGCCCCAGCGGATGGATCGATCTCAGATCGATTTCAACAGTTAGACAAATAAAAACTTTTACATTTTACGGCTAGTTATCAGGTCTCGAGCATCTATCTTTCTGTAGATCGAACGACCGATCGCTCACTCCATTAATTTAGCGATTTTATCAAAGCCCCAACAAAATTCTCAATTAAAGAGGCACCGGCCCCCTCCCTATACCCCTATTCCCCCTTTTTTCCTGTTTAACATATGTAAGCGAATCTCTCTCTAGGGTTTGTTGTGATTGAAAATTGAAGCATTTTATGGTTTTTGGTTTTGGGAGCGAGTGTAATTTAAAGGAAAATCCAAATCAATTTAATGGCCGGGCCAGGCAGTAGAATTCGATATCCGAAACGCTGACAAAAACTTATTTAAATGTCATAAAAAATGTGAACATTTCCCACAACAACCAACAACAGCAACAACAACAACAATAACAAAGAACTGAACTGAAGAATCAAATTGATGGAAAATAAATGAAATGTTTTCTTCGGTTAGTTAATGAAAAATGCAATAAAATGAACACAAAATGACACATAAAAATGGTTGGTTGGTTGTTTGGTTGGTTGGTTGGTTGGGGCTATCGTGAATACGGGGTTGGGGGGGAAACTGTAAATGCTCCTAATTGATCATAAAAACGCGCAAGAGCCGCAAGAAAACTACACAAATACATATACATATACAGACAAAACTCCTCTACATATGACAAGAAAAAAAAAATGGAAAATGGATGACAAATGCAATGGGCAACGCCTCAGCGTTCCACTTTTATTGATATGTGACCCAGAAAGACTCTGCCCTCTGCCCACAAAAAGATACTCTCACACGTAGATCCATATATGAGTGTGAGTACGAATATAAGTACTCGATCAGCATGTGTGTGTGTGTGTGTGTGTGTGTGTGTGTCAGGGCATATACAGACTATCGCAAATCGATTGGGCATGCCCCTGACTGACTCTGGACATGGACAGGCCTCCCTGCCTGCCTGCCTGCCTGCCTGCCTGCGGTCACGCATGCGCACTGATAATAATTATCAAATCAAAACACTTAAACGCCTGCCCGGCCCATGGTCGGCCCTCCTTGCTGTTCTGCTGTTCTGTTGGGCCTCTTGGGGCCGCCGTCGTGTTTGTTTGCCTTGAAGTGATTTGCAAGTTCTACTTAAGTCAAAAGTGTTCGTCTCGTCTCGTCGCCACAGCTCGTTGAGCTGCGTGAAAAGCTTTTTGTGTGTCGCTGTCGCGGGTCCGGTCCGGTCTTTTGTCCGTGTCTGAGTCTCAGTCTGACTTGCCCCTCCATCTGTTGCAACTGCTGCATCTGCATCTGCTTCTGCATGGTTCATCATCATTAAGCGCATTGCGTTGAATGTGAATGCCCCCACACACATTTACAAGATTCACTTTCGCAGGGAGACCCAGACCCTCATAAACATGGCCACAAACTAAATTGGGGCGTTTTGGACCTTGGCATGGGTTCCAGCGCGTCTGCCCGTGCCTCATGCCCCATGCAACGTCTGCTCGGGCTGTGTTGACAGCTGCAGCCTGGGCCAAAGTGAAGTGTTCTGCTGCGGATCGCGATCTGGCCGCAGGGCGGCAGATTGACCCAGTTCACTCCTTTGGCTCCTTTCGAACGCAACAAAAAGTTTTGTATATAAAATAAAATACAACTGTTTTGCTTTTGCTGCTGCTGCTGCTGCTGCCGCTGCTGCTTTACTTTCATTGACAGTTTGCACAGACAGCAGACGTTTTTGGCAAACCAGGCACGCACTTGTGCCCTCGATAAGGCTGATGTTGTCTTTGATTTATGCTGCATTTTGGTAGCTCATAAATCATTGCCCGCAGACCCACTGACTGACTGACTGACCAACTGACTGAAAGAGTGTATCAGAGCAGCGACAGGACAGACAACCACCGACCACATTCTTTGCCATAATTAGTGCAGTCGGTTCGGGAATCGGTCCTCAGCTTAAGCTCTTTTAATTGGCACTTTTACCTGCAACGATTACCACAAAATATGACAGCTAAAGCCGTTCCCGTATTTATTTACTGACACAATGAAATGTCAAGCGCCCACGAGAGCTGCAAGAGAGCTGCAAGCCCCACTACACAGGGCACATGAAAGAGAAATGCAACAGAGGACGAATTGAAGCTGGGAATGCGCTTTCTCACCGAACGAAACATCTTTATTCCCTCTGAAGCTTCTTTATGCAGCATAACAATTTATAGAATGAATAGAACTTTTGCCAATTTATTGGAAATGGAAATGGCACAGGGCTGCCAATCTGCAGCACATCGTTAAAAGGGAAATGACAAATGGGAATATGGCAAGAGCTGAAACTGGATACAGGAATGGTGCCTCCCGCCCTGCTGCCACACGAGTATATCGATTCAAACCAAAATATTTCAGCAGCCACGCCACAAAAACACAATTGAGTTACATATCTTCGCCTCTCGAGTGGTTTTTCGTAGTCGGTTTTCGGAGTGGATGTCGTGTTTTTCCATTGGCATGGCACGCGTTTTGAAAATTAATATTTGTCTTGTTGCGCTGTCGCTGCTGCTGCTGCCTTTTTGAGGTTTTCCACAGATAATCGGAGCCAAAGGAGGCAAGGGGAAATGTATGCTAAGCATATGCAGCAGCCCAGAGGTAGCAGCCCGGAGGCAGCAGCCCAGAGGCAGCAGCCCAGAGGCAGAGACAACGACCGCAAGCAGAGTGCCGTTTATGAGCAGTTTTTGGCTTATAAATGTTTTAATTAGATCTATTTGGCTTGATAAGCCGAGCAGAGACAGCTAACAAGTTGGTTAGTCTATTCGGGCGCTTATGGTTTATGGTCCGTAGTCCGGACTGCATTAAGTGGGTCATTGAGCTGGCCAAAGACATACTGGTACATGCTCATATGTGTGGAGTGGGAGGAGGAAAGAGTTCGTTTGGGTTATCGGACGTTGTGGAGTCAAAACCTCAAAACCCCAAAAACTGATTGCAACAGGAAAAGTCTTTTATGGCTCAGCAATCAATCTGTTCAATTGTCTTTCACAGACAGCCTGCCTGCCTCCCAGCCTCTCTGCCTCTCAAGAACTGCACTAATTAGTGTATTTTATTACACATTTTATGGCGATGCAAATCAAACGGCAGCCCACAGACAGACACCACAGCGACCCGTTTCAGTGCACAGGCACACAAAGTTCAAAGTTTAACTGATTCAAGTGCCAGCCAGCGAGTGACGACTGTCTATCAGCGCCACTCCCCCCAAGTTGATGCCCCCAGAGACTCTGCCACAACCCTCCTACCTTCTCTCAGACACTGTGCTGTCCATAAATTTCACGCGCTTCAGTTGCGCATCCGGCCCCTGCAGATGGATGGATGGATGTATGGATGGATGGAACATATGGCAGTTCTTGAGAGAACATTCCTACTCTTTCGGCATTCATGTGGCAGGGGGGGGGGGGCAGCTGCGTGTGGGCTCCCCCCAAAAACTCCAGCACATGTGTGTGTGTGTTTGTGTTGACAACATTGTTGGAATTCAGATTAAATGCCTTTGTCTTGAGCGCATTTTATCTAACCTAAATTCATAAAATATGCTTCGCTGTTTGCTGTTGCATGTCGAAATCATGCCAGAGATTACCAAGGAATCTCAGCGATTCGAGATTAGGAAATCTCAGCCAGAGCTGAGAGTATGATGGACTTACATGCTTCTCCGGTTTCAAGACAAGTCCGTTCTGCTGCTGCTGCTGCTGTTGCTGCTGTTGCTGGTCCATGAAGGATGAGCCCTTGCCAAAGCGACTCTGGATGGCCGCTGAGGCTGCTGCTGACAGCAACATGGGCGCTGTCCTGGATGTGGGCGAGTGGTGCCTGCCGTGGGTGGGGGCCGTTGCCGAGCTGGAGGCAGCTAGGGCAGCCAGATGCGGCGGCAGCTTATCGCCAGCCATCAGGCTGTCCAGATCACGTAGAAATTTGCAAGCCCAAATGTTGACATCCTCGACCTGGGCAGGTGGAGCGGCGCCAGGGGTGGCGAGGCTGTGTGCGCCGTGGGGCGGCGGCGACAATGCCCTTAGTTTAGTTGTCACTGGTTTGGTGTATGCTCCATTCCCTCCTGTGGTGGTGGTTGTGGTGCTGCTACTGTCAAAGCCGCTATCTGATTCCGTGGAACGAGACAATTCATCAAGCGGCAGGCCGGTGGCTGCCTCCAGTTGGTCGCGCAGCTGCTGCTCCAGGCGCTGGACCTTGCGCAGCTCGAAGACCTCATTGATTTCCCGCTGCAATTAGAATAGAAGTTGTTGTTGTTGTTAGCCACAATAAATTCTGCGCCTTGGCCGAGATTAGGTTTTGATTAGCGCTCTAATTGCGTGCATATATCAAGGCAATGGTCTATTAATCGCTAGGCCCAGAGGCGCCAACGCCAGCGGCAGCGCCAGTTCCTCTCCTAATGGGCCCAGACTATGATGTATGTTTGCTTAATTTCCGCCGCAAACAGTTGGCAGAGCGCAGCGGAAAAGAAAGCCTAGGACACGACCCAAGCATTTCTCACACACAGCAGAGACAGAGACACAGACATGGGCACAATCAAAGACAAATAAATTAGAACACGACCGCAAAGGCAGAGGACAGAGAGGGAGAGGACAGAGAGGGAGAGGACAGAGAGGGAGCATCAGCCAGAAAGGTTTTCCAGCTCGAACAGAAAACTGCAGCCACGACACAGCAACAGACAACAGACAACAGCAACAGCAACACGACTTGCAGCAGCAACATGCGGCACACAGTCTCAGTCTCAGTCTCCGACTCAGTCTCTGCGCTGTTCCAACAAATGCAAATAAATTGAAATGAAGCAATTTGTTAGCCAGATTAAACCAAAGCAAACCAGCAACAAAAACAAAAAGGGGGCAGAGAACACAGGGCGCTCAAAGAAGATCAGACAGATGGGCCCACAGGGCTAACAAAGTCAGCGAATTACTTAATTAAAAATCGTGGCCAAAGCGCACCAAAGCAGAACCAGAACTGGCCCAGACTCTTGGCCAGGTCCAAACCGAGACCCAGACCCTAGTGCAGACCCAGGCCGAGTGACATTAATAACGTGCAGCGCTCATTACTCAACAATTGTGTTTGCTTTTCTTTCTTTTATGTGCTGGTGCTGCTGCTTTGGCTTTGGCTGTGGCTGTTGCTGTTGCTGCTGCCGCGGGACATGCAACAGGGCAGCAAGGCAGCAACCCTTGCCGCAGACAAATGCGATCGAACATTAGCAGGCAATAAATTCTCAAAGGTAGCCAGCCAGGGTCCACAGCCCTTCCCCCTCATCTATTGCTTCTGTGGCATGAAAGAAAGCGCCGCTCTAGCAGCTGCCTCCGCCTGTTGCCGGCCACTGCTGCCCCCTGCTGCTGCTGCTGCTGCTGTGATTCTATCGCTGGGATTGTTTTGGCAGAGTTGTTGCCTCATTTGTCGTCCGGTGCGAGAAGGTTGCTAGCTAATTTGTGTAGCGGCTTCGGGTCAAAGGTTGCTCAAACAATGCCGGACAACCAATGGGAAATGGGAAACAAGAAGTAGAAGAAAACGAAGCTTTCAATACGCTTGCAGGTGGATGACGGCCAGAGAAACATTATGACTGAAACAAAATTCAATTTATGATCCTCCATGGGGCAGAGAATATTTTCTGCTGTAGGGGGTACCCTCTGTACCCTCGGCAAGGGTATACAGACGAGTGCCAGAAATATGACTGGTGGAAAGTTCTCCAGTGCTCGGGGGACATCTCAAGTGGGCAACAGATTTCCCAGTTCGAAAAACCTCCGTCGTACGAGAACAATGCAATTTTCTTTTTATTAATTTCATGCTACGACGCGCTGGATAAACAATGGCCCCACTCCGCGACTCCGAGACGGACACGCATGTGTGGGACGCAGGTCCAGCCAGGGTCCATGACGGGGTCCAGCAGGTCCAGTATTCCCAAAACTCCGATCCGCTCCGCTCCGCGGGCGGCAGCCATCCGTTCCTGACACATCTCTGGCTATAAAAAGCAAGACTGCTGGGCAGCAACTTTCAGTTTCAGTTTTCTAAGAGCCAAATGCGCAGCGGTCGCCCGCCGCTTCAAAGTGCCCGACAAGCCAAAGACAAAAATAAAATTGGAACAGCAGCCTCGATCGGAGCGCGGCACAGAGGCGAGGATCGACTGGAGCAGAGCAGTCCAGAGGACCCAGGCTGGGGCAGCACAGCAGACAGACAGCATGAGACTCACGCTCGCCTGGCTCAGCGTCTGCCTGGCGATTTATTGCAGCGGCGGCCACGGCCACGGCCACAGCCACAGCCACGGCAATGTCGTACTATCTTTGCCACCATCGCTTATCGCCACGGCCACGGAGGCGGCGGCCTTGAGGCTGCAACAGCAGCAGCAGCAGCCACGCTGGAAAAAGGATGCACGCGTCCTGTTTGACAGCGGCAACGATGCACTGCGCGATATGCTCCAGAGCCAGGCGGCTGGCAAGTTCAGTCTGCAGCACCACGACAACGTGAGTTCGGATGGGGATGGGGGATGTGGATGTAGATGTGGAGCAGCAACCGCAAGCCGCGGATTTTAATCGAAAACCTCTGCGCGCGGCAGATGATTTAGGGGCACAGTCTGGGCTGCGGCAGCAATCAGTGGCGCAGGAAATTGCACCACTGCAACGGGCCATTCCGGGACTCAACTATGGGGCCACGCCCCACAAATACTGGGCCAGTCGGTGCCAGGGTCGCATGGGTCCGTCTGCCAAGTGTCCGCAGGAATATTATCGCGCCATGATGGCAGCCAGGTAAGCCAGGTACACCTGCCCCTGCCCCTGCCCCTCCCCAGGATGTGGGTGGCAATCAGGGTTATTGGGCCGAAATTCTATTCAGGCCGCTGCTGCTCCCTCTCTCCCAGCTAGCGGGGTTCAAGGTTGCTCGCAAGGAAAGTCGAAAAGTCGAAGCGAGAAAGTTTCGCGCCTCGTTTCCGCTTCACATGCTAAACCCATTTATCAGACTGCCCGAACCCTGTCTGAGGTTCACGCTGAGGTTCAGATTTAATGTTGAACCCTTTCAAAAGGCGCCAGGTCTTGCCAAAAAAAAAGAAAGAGAATTACCAGCAACAGCAACAAATCGTCGACAATTTGGCTGTCGCCCAGAAACACGCAAAACCAATTAATGGGCGTGAAAAAAATCAGTACAACGGATTGCAGTTTTGTTTCAACGTCTCAGCCAGAGAAGACTCCTCCTGCCCCCCCCCTAACCGAGTCCCAAAACTCCAATGGAGCTCGTATGTTGATTTATTTTATAAAATAACAACTGTCAGCAAATTCATTGCCCCGCAACGAAACGAAACGAAATCGAAACGAAAACTGCATTACGAGTTTCACTTTTCATTCGCCCGAAGAGAGCTCCAGCAGACAGACCAGAGCCCAGAGCAGACCCCAGACCAGACCCCAGACCAGACCAGAGCTTCCCCACTAGAAGTGAGAAATGTTTTAACTTTGGTCAACTTTTATTGAATTTTATCGTACTCGTACTCTTGCAGGGGGACATTATGATTTTGACAACAGAAAAGATGTGAAATTAATGCGAATATAGAGCAAGTTCTATGCAGACTTGTCCCTCAGTTTATATGGGCTTTATGAACTGTAGAATCAATGGGACTGCAAGAGTATCTGAGGCTTCGGCTACCCAGGCAGGCCTTTCTTTTCTTCTCTTATGATACACAAATATTTGTCCCTTCCTCTGGGGCGGCATGTAATTTCTGGAAATATTATCTTGCGTTGAAAAATTATTGGGCGCTGCTATTAAATTCGAATTAATCATTTCTTGTGTTGTTTTTTCGTGCTGCGACTTGTTTTTGTTGATTTGTTAAATGTTTGATTAATTGGCTATCGGCCAGCGGCCGTGGGCCCGCATCCAGTTGTATTTTGTTCGCTTAATTTGTAATTTTACACAGTAATTTCGATGGAATTGCCACAAATTGACTTTTGATTGAATTGGATGAGCCCTGACAGGGCGGCTAAGCGAAGAGTTTAGGCGCTAATTCTTTGTGGCAGTTGAGAGCGAATGGCTTTCTGGGTCGAGTCAGACATTTGAGTGGCTGCTATTGTCCCCCGCCTGAGCCCACGTCCGGGAAGATGTTCATCAATTTGGTGTCATCGTGTCTTTGGGTTCCACAGTTCCACAGCCAGGGGAAGAGAAACTCCAGTGAAGATGGTCTGTGGTCGTAACGGGGCTCACATGTAATTGAAACCCACGGCCCACGCCTCATCAGCCAAGAGAAATGTGCACAAAGAAAGGCGACTGCTCCCTATACTCGCACCGACATTGTGCAACGAATGATGGGGCATGGCATTCATCTCTCTCTCTCTCTCTCTCTCGAAATAGACAGGCCACATATAGAATATTTACATCAATCAGCTTGTTGCTCTACCCATTCCCATTACTATTGCCATTCCCCTTTCATTCAATAGGAACAAAGAGGCCATGGCCCGTCTCCACATGCAGCTCGGCGCGAGGCAGGACTCTGATTCATCTAGCTCTGATATTAATAACGATGAGCTGCTGGAGCCCACCACCGAATATGAGGAGAGCAACGGCAACGAGGTCTTTATGCTGCTCACCGGGGAACAGGACCTAATCAAGTTCCTGCACTGGGCCATGCAGCTGCTGTATCCCTTCGAGCGACCCGAGGGCAACAGGAGTGAGAGTGCGGCCGAAAACTATCATCCAGGCATGTTCCTCTGGAAGAAGCTCAACCTGTCGGGAAACCTGGAGCCGCCGCTGATTGTGGACGAGCCGCAGTTCGTTCTTGTGCGCCGCGAGAAGCTCCTCAATGGCTATAACTTGGGCGGTGAGTAGAGGGGAAGGGCAGGGCGGGGCAGGGCACTCACTTAAATTCCCATTCTCTGGACTGGCGCTTGCAGATGAGATCAGCCAGGAGGACGATCCCTTTATACCACCACGCGGACGGAAGCACAGCTCGCCGGATCTGAATGCGCTGTTCAGTCGGCATGAGACGTTCGTGCCGAATCGCGGCAGGCGCGACAAGGTCAAGGATCTGTTCAAGTACGACGAATTGTTCTTTCCGAATCGCGGCAAAAGGCATCGCAGCATTTTCAAGCTGGACGATCCCTTCTATCCGAATCGCGGCAAAAAGCTGCAACTGCGGGATCTTTACAAAATTGACGATCCATTCTTTCCGAATCGTGGCAAGCGGCACTTGACAGGATCGGGCAAGACACCGCCACCGCCACCACCGCCGCCGCCCGCCGTTGGTCTGTTGGGGAAAACTGTTGCAGCAGCAGCAGCAGCAACAGCAGCAGAGAAAATTGCCAGATGACAGCGACAACTGGCCGCAAAGAATGTCAACGCATAAAATTAATGGTTACGATCAATCAGTCAAGCCATCAATGTCAGTGGAGGATGCTACTCTAGTCAGAGCCAGAGTCAGAGCTTCGACTGCAGCTGAGGGCGCTCGCTGGCGACGTCTGGCCATGGGATTGCTCCAGCCTGCTAATAGATTACACTCGACAAGATCAATGTCAGCAAATTTACAACAGCCGCAGCAGGAGCAGGAGCTGGGGCTGGGGCTGGAGATGGGACTGGAACAATTGGTGCCACATTTGCAGCAGCAGCAACAGCAGCAGCGGAGCAGCGTCCGCTTCATTGGCAATCCAATCATGCCCCGTCAGCAGGTGAAACCATCCTGGCCGGGATCGCAGCGCCTCAAGCGATCTCTTCAGCCCGACGATGCCCCCGAGACACAATTAACGCGTTCACCCAATACTAATCCTCAGAAGATCGACTCGGAATCTGATTCCGACTCCGACTCCGAGTCTGTCTCTGTCTCCGATTCGGACTGGGACTGGGACTGGAACAGGGACACTGATGATGCCAATTGGAGCATTTAAATGCGGCGATCGGTTTTCGGTTTTTAGTTTCGGTTGTTGGGCAGCTTCCTTGGGGGCACGTATATGCCTGACTCTGTAGCACGAATGGGTCAGCAGGAACCAGACAAAATGTAGCACAAACTATAGCACACACACAACACACAACATAAAGTAAAGTAAAGTAAATGCAATTGAAAATCGAAACAGAACGAAGGTTACGCCGTGGAGGGATGGGGATGGGATCGCTGCTTCCCTTGCCCTTGGGGCAGCCTTTCTAGAATTGTGCTGCGAAGGTCTACCTGCCCCGGGGGAATGGGTATTGGGGTATGCGATGTGGTTGTTCCTACAAGTAATTCCTATTTTAATTGTATTCATTGGTTAATTTATCGCTAAATGCAATCAGCATTGTGCCCAAGCTGCGAGGCTCTAGTCATGGACCCAACACACAGCTGCCACGCTGCAAGGCTGCCAATGCTGCAGACAGGCGGGCGTGGCACGCAGTTGATGCCACAACAGCGATATGTCCGCTCGCTGTAAGATATGCAGGCTGATCAAGAACAAGCAAGCAGGCAACCAGCCAGCCAACCAGGGGCAACAGCCACGACACTAAAACTGGAAACTGGAACTGTGAGTGTGAGTGTGAGTGTGATTGTGAGTGTGACTGCAAAGGTCAGACGCGTACCCAGACCCAGTCTGCCATGTAATCCCCAAAACGCACATCAATCACGCGACTTTAGCTTATTAGCCAGCATTGAACCTTAAATATCAGAGCACCAGAGCACCGAAATGGACTGGTAGGGAATGGGTAAAAATAAACAGAAATACAAATTTTTGTTGTAAAGCCAAAGCCGAAACCGCCGCTCGCTCTTACAACAGCAACTGAAATTTTCCACTTCAACTGATTTCTGACATTGACATTGACCAAAAATCGACAACAGCGTCCAAATATTTGGTGAGCCACAAAGTCTACGGGCCAGACTCTGGTCGAGACTGAGACCGAGACCCAGACCCCTAGCAGCTCTTTGTTTTGTACAAATGACCATTGAAGGTCATGCGAGAGCCAAAAGAGCCAAAAGAGCCAAAGCAGGCAGCAACAAATTGGTTAAATAATACTCTCAACTCCCCAGCATCAGCTGAAGCTGAAGAAATACTCGCACTGAGAAACAGAAACAGAGAGAAAAAAAATAAATGTTAAGCAGATGCGCGTCATCGTTTGGGGGTTCAAGTTTTTGGATTTTGGTAGCTTGACGTTTGCGATCAGACCAAAATCATATGAAGATCATTATAATTTCAATGGCACTTCACTCCACAGTTCACAGTCCACACAGTCCACAGAGGCAGCCACAGACTGTGTGTGGACTGAGTGTGTATGCAGGCTGTGTACTACAAGTACTCGTATGGCTATGTTTGGCTAGAAGAATGAATGCAGCAGTCCAGTTCAGTTCAGTTCAGTCCATACATATATTCAACTCTTTTGCGCTGGGCAATGGCAATGACACTTGAAGTGGTCAGCCGGCTAAGAGGCTCAGCTCACGTGCAGCTTTCATAGAGGGTACGCAGTATGTACGGCACCTTTTTTTGAGTTGGGTAAGCTTACGGGGCTAAGCAGCTGTGACAGCTTCAGAAGAAATCTCACAGAAGCATTAACCTTTCCTTGCCTATAACACTGAGCACTGCCTCGAATAAATGCCTGAATGGAGCTTACATCACCTTACTTCCGTCTCTTCATCGCGTATTGGTATTGCTATTCGATTCGTAACTCTCTCACTCACTGGCCATAATAAAAGTGCAAAAACTTATGTCACACACACACACACACACACACACACACACAGGTCGAGCACAGGTCTGTCTGTCTATTGAGCCAAATGTGTCAAGAGTGAAGATTGTACAAATTAAATTTCATTGGCTTTGTGCTTGCGCTTTCAAAACTTCAAGTCCAAGTATAAGACCAAGGACTGGATACCAAGCGGTTACTTTGTGTCACTTTTGGCCAAGCAGAAAGAAAAAGAAAGTCCAGCCTGAGAAGTGCAGCAAACGGAGTTGGAGGAGCAGCAGGAGCAGCAGGGGTACTCCTCCCCAATTGAGCTCCAGCATCACAGCAGCAAATTGGCTCAATTTTTGTTGCAACTTTTGTTGCTGTTGTTGTTGTTATTTTGACTGTTGTGGCAACTGATTTGCTTGTCGGAAAATATCAACGCATTGTCAGCGATCCCAGTGCCGTTGACAACATGCAACATGCAACATGGTGGTAACGGGCTAGCTGCTTGCAGCATGGCAACATTGCCAACATTGCAACTGCAATTGTAACGCGATCAGCATGAGTAGCTGGCAGCCTTTGACAGCGGCTTAATTGCAGTCTGCAATTATGATTGTTGCCGGGATGGCTACTCGTAGAAGTCCGCACCAGGAGCAGGGAGCAGAGAGCAGGAGTAGCAGGGAGCAGCAGCAGCAGCAGCAGTCGAAGGAGTCGCTTCGCTTTCGTTTGATTTGTGTGTGTGTGAGCTGGCCAAAAGAGCTGAGCTGAACTGAACTGAACTGAACTGCTTTCTGACTCCATTTGGCGTCTGAAGTTTCTAGTTAGCTGTCCCCAGTCGTCCCCAGTCGTCGTTGTCTTTGTTGATTTGGCCGTCTTTGTCTGGTGGGAGCAACTCCTGGTTGACAAAAATAGTAACGTGCAGTCAGGCGCTGCCTTTTATTGCCATTTGTTTTTTTGTTTGTTTTTGTTTTTTTTTTGTTTTTGCCATAGCTGTGTGTTGCAGTTTTGCCATTTGACGTTGACAAAAAAACGTCATTTGCAAATTGGGCAAAGACAACTTTCTCTAGGCAGCTGCGCATTCGCAGTCGCCGTCGCTGTCGCAGTTCCAGGCGCAGGCGCAGGCGCAGTCGCACTCGCAAAGTGACAGTCATTGCATAAAGCTATATAGATAAACCAAAGGCAAGTCGTCGCCCACATTCATTAACAGCATTCGCATAATTGGCTGAGGCAGATATTTCGTGGGTTCACTGACACCACACAGGCAGCAGCCAGCAGCCAGCAGGCAGCATCCCATCCCCAGTACCCAACCCAGCAACCATCCAAAGACAGTAGACAGAAGACCGAAGACCAAAAGACAATCCCTGGGCGCAGCCCGTGTGGCTTATTGGGGGCCTTACGTCTCAATTTCCCATCGCCACTTTGTCAATATCTATAATTAAAATCATTTGAGAACACACGCAAACCCTGACTGGCCTCTCTCTGCCGCTGCTGCTGCTGCCACTGCCGTTGCCGATTTATCAGATTTTTTTGGAATGGCAAAAGCTATACTTATGGATATATATGTATGTATACACTCGTATTCGACGTTGAAAGCTTGATTGATGCATTAAGCTTATACAGCCGTAAACGTAACCGTAACCACCAGCAGCAGCCAAAGCCCAGGCCAAGCCCCCCCTCGACTGCTGGGGGGGAGACGAGAGCGGTTGACGAGAGCCAATTAATGGCTGCTTAAACGGGAAAAACTCTCTGGCAGTGTGGCCATGTAAAATTATGGAAAATCTGTGCAAACGCGATCAGGGAGGCGGCGAGCGCTAATTGAGGCAGGAAGCGTTGCGAGGAAAAACGAGTTGCCATCGCCTGTCATCTTGCATCTGGTCAGAGAAGCTGGCCAAGCAGACAGCAGACAGCAGCCACCAGGTTGTGGCCCACGAAATGGGTCAGGCAGTGATTACCCGACGTTGTCGTTGTGGTTGTCGCTGATGCCGACGCCATCGCCGACGCCGACGCCGCCTCCACGAACGCATTTCATAACTAGGCAAATTAAGCCTAAGGCCAACACACAAGCGACAAGCGTCTTAGCCCCGTCTTAGCTGGTAACGGCAATTTCCAGCCCCAAAAGCGCTGCACTATTTGTCATAATAAATGTGCACAAAGGAGGTGTACACCTCCGCCGTGCACCTCCCCGAAGAAAGCGGGGAGCGGAGAGACCGTGTGGGCAGCGCTGTGACACATTTTGTCATCATTAGGCACAGTTGCCGGCTAATAATTTCAATTTAGCCAAAAAATTAGTTGTATTGTGAACAGTTGATGGGGGGGGCAAGAGCAAGCGCAAGAGCCACCAAAAGCAGGGGGAAAAATAGGCCTAAACAGCCCACGCCAAGAAATGAAGAGAGAAACGAAAACCCAAGTCGAAGCAAAACATTCAACGACTGCCAGGCGGAGCTGGGGCTGGGGCTGGGCCATTCGATGGGTGGATAGGTGATGGGTGTTGAGGTGATGACACTGATTATAAAATGCTGCACGGTGCTTAGCAAATGGAAATGCCACATAAAAACTCCCAGCTAATCGCCTTGCTCTGATTTTGTGCTGCAGCAAAAATGCATTGGCATTTGCTGTGCGATTTGTGGAGTGCTTCATTCGAAACGGTATCCGAAGATGATTGAAAACGAGTTCAAATTACCATATCAGAAAATGGAAAAATGTGTACTAGAGCTCAACTAGAAATGGGCTTTGTATTGATTGTTTATAAAGGGATAAAGGAGTGAGAGAGGGAAAGGAAGGCCCCTGACCTCTGGTACTGGACCCACTCGACCGCTGGCCACAGGCTCCCATAAACGCCAACAAACAGCGCGCGTGCGTGCCTCGCTTCCGCCTGGATGATGGGCCTCTGCCGCTGCTGCTGCTGCCCTGGCGACAAATAAACAAAACTAAATAACGCAGCAGCCACTAGGAAAATTCATGCGAAACAGTTATAAAAAAAGACACACACAAAAAAAAGAGAGGAAGAAAAAGAAAGAAAACCCAAAGCTGAGGCCGTTGACGCTGCCGCTGAAGCTGACACTGACGATGTTGCCGTCATCGTTGATGTGTATGTGTAATATTGCGCTTTCCGGTACAGAAACATAAAATTTTATGTCTACGAAGCTGACGACAACTCTAACGACAGGCCGCAACAGCAACAACAACAACAGCTGGAGAGTGGAGTGCGGAGAGGGGGCAGGCAGCACTAGCGCAGAGAGTAGAGTAGTCGGGCGTGCAACACTTCGTATGCGTTACATATTACTGGCATGCCCAGCCCTGCCCTGCCCTGCCCCCACTGGTTGTCCCGAGTTAACACATTTTTCTGTCACGCAAAATAATCATTTGCAAAATCACGCCGTGCTGACAGGCGGTACAGGGGTACTTCGGCAGGAGGAGGTGAATGAGGAGCAGTACCGAACTGAGAGAAAGACCAGGGAACTGGAATGAGTGGGGGGACTGAGGCTGGGGGGCCCAGGCGACGATTGTGTGTGCGTGTGGGGCACACTAACTGCCGGTTATTATCATGTGAAAATGTATGAAATTGAATAATGTCATTCGGCACACTGGGACACACACACACACACACACACACACACAAAATGATTTGCTTCTAATGCGAAAATTAAACAACATGGGAACAGATATAGGAAATAGTTCCCACATGGAGAAGGGGCCTTAGGGGCCCATCCCTTGTGCCCAACACTCACCTTGACACGCTCCAGATACTCCTGCAGTGCCCCATACGGATCATCGCCATCCACATCCATCAGGTCGAGACTGTGCGCCAAATCCAGATTGTCCAATGCGGCCAATTTGGACTCGGCCTTATCGACAAATTGCAGCTTATGATGCCCCTGATGCAGAGTGCTGCCAGTGCCAGTGGCCAGTGTGGCAACGGGCGCCGCCTGGCTTAAGAATTTCTTATCAGCTGTCATGGTGTTGCATGGAGTTGCTCCTGTTGTGGCTGTGCTGCTGCTGCCGCTGCTGTGGCACTGCTTCCGTATTGGCGAGTGCGAGGCATGGTTGCACAACCGGTGCTAAAAACGCTTGCAGCAGTTGGCACAAACGTGGATGTGGATGTGGCTATGGTTGTGGCTGTGTTTGTGGCTGATGTGGCAGATGAAGTTGCGGCCATCGTCTTGCCATCAACGTCTCCTCCGTTGGCCGCCGCATCACTTAATCCCGATTTGTAGCGCGTCGCGTCAGTGGCGATAGCCGACGTGCGGCCTGATGTTGCACTGCCTCCTGCTCCTGCTGCCCCTCCTTCAGCATGGGTTGCACTTTTTGCTGCTGCTCCCTCTGTTGCACTTCCTTCACCTCCAGGTATTCTGGCATCTTCTCTTACTCCTCCTCCTGCTGCTGTTGCTGTTGCTATTGCCGAAGGCGTCGTCGCCTTGCCGTTGATAAGCGTTTGATGTTGGAGGTTCCTGCTGCTGCTGCTGCTGCTGCTGCTGCTGCTGCTCTGGCTGCTCTGGCTCTGTCTCTGGCTGTGGCTGCCACTGCCACTGCTAATTGCACTTTTCACATCGCTTGTCATGTTGTTTTGATTTGTATTGCCATTTCCATTGCACTGCATTTGAGTTAACTTCTTGACTTTGTCATGATGCCGCGTCGCCGTGGCTCCACTCTGCTGTGGCTCTGCAAATAAAAGAGAGGACATGCGAGTATGTAGTAGAAGATATACTTATTTAATTTCAGCCATACATATTTTCTTTTAGACTAGTCGCATAAAGTTGTCATTGTCGCTTGCAACATGCCTCCAAGGCGCACCCAGCACCCGGCACATACGAGCATTCATAATTTTCCAATGGCTTTTGTCGCCTGTGAAAAATGAAAATGAAAAATGCACCGCAAAAAAACGTATGTCTGGCTGCCTCTGTTCGGTTTTGGTTTTGGGGTTGGGCTCCACTCTGCGACTGCTTAAGCCAAATGCGCGAAAATTTCTGCGCTAATCGCCTCAAATTGTCCGCCAAATGTGTGCCATTTAAATTGTCATAAATTTTGCAATGTGCCCCCGTCCCGTGCCCCGCAGCCCGACATGTGCGGACTCCAGTCTTTTATTCGGCATCTGTTGCTCCGTGGCTCTGTGGCTCTGTGGCTGTGCGAATGCTTTAATTAATTTCGGACTGGCAACGAAAAAATGGCCAGCAATTATTTACATATTCGAATTTATGGCTCACACTACTTAACCATGCCCTGGAATATGGCTCCAATTATTTATCTTCACTGCTATTGTATGGGAGCTGCTGGAATCACGCCCCACAAATGTGTCGCCGCAGATTTGTGTGGCTGTCGATGGGACTGGAAATGGGAATGGTGCAGAAGTCGGAAATGTGTCAGTTCGGCAGCCAAACAGCCAATGTCAGAGTCGTATATCTTTTGGGCTGATTCCGCATGGCTACTGTTCAGTTGAATCAGACAAGTAATTGCTGCTTATCTCAAGGGACAATCTATGCACTAAATAAAAGATTACAGATGCAAAAGCTGTGAGCAAACATCTTCCCACAACTAAAACACCTTCAAGCAAAACCCTCTCTAGAAATAATGAACTCCTCTTGTGGGTCTTATCACCAATTCAAAGCAGCAAACGACAATCGCTTTGCATAATCCCCAGTGTAACCCACATGTCTGGGGCTTCAATTCACAGTAAATCGATTTGAAATTCGCATAGGGGCGAAGGTTATATGAACTCTGTCAAAGACAAGAACTTCGAGTGCCGGCCGGCAATGTCTCTGGGTCTTCATATATGTATATCTCCCCCTATCCACTGTACTCTGCCCACTGTATATGTATGTATTTCTGTTTTTCTGTTTTTTCTGTCTGTCTGTGCTTGTGGGGCAAGTGAAACGGTTAAAGAGTTTTTTCTGTGGCTGTCGCCTGGCTGTTGTTGATTTTATAGGTACGATTTTAGTTTTGTTTTTATGGCGCATGCGTGCGTTCGATTGAGTTTTTTGATTAAAATGTCGCCGCCACCGTCGCTGTCGCTGCTGCGGCTGCTGCTGCTGCTGTCGCGACTTGGACTTGGCGACAGGCAAAGGCAACAGCAAGGGGTCTGGCTCTCTGTCATTCCAACTGCCGATTCCAAATCCAACTCTGACTCCGAGTCTGACTCTGACTCCGACTCTGACCTGACTGTGCTTCTGCTGGTCAGAGCTTGGCATTTAAAAATTCTGAATCGCATGCGTTACACAACGGCCCGTGGCGAGCTCGTAAATCAGCGGTGCAAACGAGTCAGTCAGACGGAGACGGAGGGCCTGACCGACCTGAGAGACAGACCAGACAGTTGGCAACATTTTATGGGGGTCTCTCTGCTCAGAGGGGTTGAGTTGAGAGAGCGCGCTGTGCTGTGCTGCTCTGCCAATTGATCGTTTTGAGGCGATTGGCAGGCCGCCAGGCCAGGCCAGATCGAAAACGAGACCCCAAGACCCAGGCCCAGGCCCAGGCTTAGGCCCACACTCGTTTGCTGCAAGTTTTCTTCTGCCATTTTGGCTGCATTTCAATTGTGCAACGCTAACGGTAAATTTGGCTATAGGGACACACTGCATCGCCAGCGCCGTGTGGGAGACGCGTTGAAAGTTCATGGGAGGTCTCTTCTCCCCACTCTCCAATTTCGAATGCACTTCCAATGCGTTTTTATATCCTTTGTACTCCATTTTGATTGGGGAATACTTTTTTGTTTTTAGCTGCCGAAGCAGGATGAACCGTAAGGCTCCGAAGACGGAGCCTATTCCGTTGTCTTTCTCCCCTTTGGGGGGCTGTTTTTATTTAAGCCAATTTAGCCTTCATTTGGCCAACTAATTAGCAGCAAAGAAAACGGGCTAACCGACAGAAATAAGTTACGCGGCCTTTGTTCTATTTGATGACTGACCAAAAGTTCTTTTTACGCAGCGACAAACCCCGAAACAGAGAGCAAGATAAATAAACAAAACAAAACTACGCTTATTTTGCTTATTTGCTTGGAATAAAATTGTTTGCTGGGGTGTGTCCGCTAAATGGCCACTGTCCATCCCACTCTCACTCCACACTGCCACACTGCCACACTGCCACACACTCTGATCACTCTGATGGGTCTTGTGTATGAGTGTGTTTGTTGTGGCTGATTGATTCGCTCGCTGAGGTCACCTCAACGTGATTAATTGCCGATTGCGAATGACTGGCGAGAGCGAGAGAAGTGTCACCGAGGGAGAAGTAAACACATACAGATACAGAGATATAAATACAATGCTCGTGCAGTTGCCACTTTAGATTGCGAGGGTTGTCTGACGCATACTCGTGCACAGTGAAAAGCTCTCATAGAAAGCCTTGCTCTAAGTCAATATTTGCTTGTAAATGCAGGCCGCCTTCGCCGCCTTCGCCTTCTGCCCGGAGATCTGCCGACCTACCTCAATGCAACTCTACTCTGGCCAGCTGTACGTTCTCATCTGTGGGCTTATATCAACAGTCAACAGCAGAGCAGACTCGACCAGTCCGGAGCAGGCTAAATAAGTAAATAGGCAGAAGTGAGCACAGCAGAAGCTGTCGGGGCCGGCAAATGCAATGCAATGGCTGGACACGCCAGACGATTAGCAGGGCATTCTCTGAGATCTTTGAGCCGGTCCCCTGAGCTGACGTGTGTCGGCTCGGGACAACGTCTTCGTCATGCTGATCAACACAGATCACAGGCGCCCTGAGACGCCGCCGTTTTGGTCTTCAGCTTGGTCTTCAGCATCGTCTCTCACCCGATTCAACTTTAGTTTCGTACCCGTGTTGCCTGCTTCCCTTCTCCGCCTGAACTGCCTATTCAGCGCCGTCTTTAACTCCATTTCACGTCATCCCACTAAGGGCAGGGCAGGGCCTGGCCTGAGATCTCTGACACTGGCACTGGCGGCTTTCAAGCCTCATTTGCCTATCAAAATGATATAATACGCACTCATGACGTCGATGGCTCTGGGTGTACGTGTTTCCTGTTGCTGTTTTTAGTTTTCTGTTTCGTTTTTTTCTGTTTTCTGTTTCTGGCCTTTTGTGCAAATCTGCTGCACAGCCGCCTGCGGGTGGCACTCAGGCAAGGGGCGTGTCTGGAATCAAATGGAGTGCACTCCACTCCACTCCGCACTCCGCAGTTGGTGACAAAGCTGACCGGGGAGTGTTTTTCTTTTCAGCATTTTTGGTTTTGGGGCCGCCACCGCCTGCAAGTGCGTGTGGAGCGTGTGGAGCTGCACCCAAATGGCAATCATTTATTTTCTTTCAGTTTTTCTCTTTTTTTTGTTGTTGTTTTTGATTGCAGCTCTCGCATGGCGGCATGACTTTTACGACTTTTCCAATTGCCCGACCTATGCGGAGACGCATTAATAATAATAGTTTTTTCCTCCTTTATTTATGATTAACCACAATTCCGTGGGGCAGGAGACACTTTCTTGAGAAGTTTTTTATGCAGCCTTAAGTGGCTTTTTATTAAACATTGCGGCATTTAATTGATTTGTAATAGATTCGACTGGTGTGTACGGGTGTATCTTTATGTGTGTGCGTGTGTGTGTGTGTGTGTGAGTGTCTGCCGCATGCCACACAGAGGTGTGCCAATGTGAGTGTGTCATGTTAACGGAAATCCAAGGCTCCATGTCATGCATAATTCATTCAAAATTGCAGTCTGGTCGGCGGAACACAAAGTTATGCACACGCCCTTAACAGCTGGCTGGCATGTTTTTATATACATATAAAAAAATATTTATATATATATGTATTTCCTACACAAAATTCGTTGTTGTTTTTTCGATGTTTTTCACTTATCGTCAAGTATTTTAATAAGCCCTGAAATTGCCTTTAATTGGTTTTACTTAGCTGTAAGTAATTGCCTCTGACTTTGCCATTGCCATTGCCCAGAGGCAAAAAATGATTCAGATGCCTGAGATTCATACTCTGGGAATTTCAAATTAAATTTTGATCAGTTTCGTATGCCCTTTCCAGAGGGTGATATCATTTTAAAGAGGCACAAGTTATTCTAAGTAAAAGTTTCCTGAACTTGCAGATAGTCCAACCAAACATATAGCTTCTCAGTTTTATTCTGTTCATAATCAAAGTACGAATATAATCGGATCACTTTACTCCATCACTCCATCAGGGGGAACTTTGCATCTGCGAGGGTATCTAAAGCTTCGTTACGTTCTTTCTTTTTTTAGTTTTTGTTTTTTGCCTCTTATCTGACTGCATCGGCAAACACTTATTTCTCATAACAAAACCGGAAATGACGAGGATCTGAGCTGGCCGCCAGCTCTCTTCTTCCTTCTCCATTGACCTTCGTTGACTTGGGAGAGTTCTGGCAGCAGTACGCGGGATATTCCCCCAGATATTGCACCCCTTTGACACTCTATTGCCCAGATCAATTAATAACAATAAGAATAACAACCGCTATTAACTAGCCTAATGACTGTGGGCCTGGCCGGGGCTGATTTTTCCCACAGTGCGGGTACTCGTATGTGCAACATATCCGCCCAGGCGATCTGGCGACAATGCGACTTAGTTGCACAAAGCTGATTAAGCGGGAGAGCTCGAAACTTACCATTTCCTGCCGCAAAGGCGGCGATGCGCTCCCTAACCGAACGTCTGGGCTCGTCATGGGCGATGTTGTTGCCGTTGCCGTTGCAGATGTTGCTGCTGTGGCTGCTGCTGCTGTTGTTGTTGCAGCTGTTTTGCTGTGGCTGCTGTGGCAACACATGTGCCTGCGTTGAGTCATGGCTAGGACTACGCTTCACCATTGTCGTTTTGATCACAGTCTTGAGGCGGCTGGGCGTGGTCGGACGAGCTGCAATGCGGGGCTTAGGGTTGCTGTTGCTGTTGCTGTGGCTGGTGTTGCTGCTGTCAATGTTGCTTTATCGTTGCACAGCACTTCTGTGGCAGCACCCACAAACTCTTCTGCTGCTGCTGCCTCTGCTGCCTCTGCCGATGTTGTTGTCAGCCCACACTCGCAGGCTGTGGCAGCTAGGTCTGTTGCTGTTGCAGATACGTTTGCTGTTGCTGTTGCTGTTGCTGTCGTAATTGTCATTTTATTCTGCGACGACTTCGGTGAATCAATTTTCGAGTTGTTGCAGTTGGTATTGGTATTGGTATGGGTATTGGTATTGGTACTGCTGTTCGTTTGGGGCACGTCGGCGGTGTCGGGTAATTTACAATAATTACAGCGCGGCTTGTTGTTGTTGTCGTAGCTTAGTGTATTTTCCTTATTGCTATGTTGCTGTTGTTGCTGTTGTTGCAATTGTTGTTGTTGCTGTTGGTGTTGCTGTTGCAAGCTATTGCTAAGTCTTTGGGTTGGTTGTCGTTGCTGCTGCTGGTGCTGCTTCGAGTGTTGCTGCTGCTGCTGCTGCTGCTCATTGCCACTCTGCGGGCTCTTTGTGACAGCGCAAGTTTTAGTTGCTGCAGATAGATCGCTGCTGCTGTTGCTGCTGTTGCTGTTGCTGCTGCTGTTGCTGTTGCCTTTGTGGTCCTGCCGCCATTGTTCGGACAGATTTCGTTGATTCATTAATATCAGCGCCACATTTCCGTCGTTTCTCTGGCCAGCATTGTTGTCAGCAATATCATTGGCATCGTCGTCATTACCATTACCATTAACTAGCTTACCATTATCGTCGTGGCTATCGTTGTTGTGGCAATCGTAATCGGTGTGGCAATCTTGGCGTCGCTTGGCCGCCGCTACATCATGCCGTGCCACATCATCAATATAGCTGAAATCGTTATCAACGAATATATTTCTGGCATGCAGCGTATTTTTGCCGCTGCTCTTTGGGTGCCTCAGATCGTAGCGCCTCCGCTGCGGACAGCAGCAGAACTTGACAATGGATCGCGGCGAGGTCGGCGATAGAGTTGGCCGCGTCGGCGTCGCCGGTGTGGCAATATCAGCCCATTTCTCGATCAATGCCAGCTCGCGAGCATTGGACATTGTCGTATAGCCATGGAGTGTGATTCTGCAACAGAACGAGAGACAAAACAAACACACACAAATTAATTACAATCAAAAGGGGGGTAGGCTGGGGTGGGGTGGGGTACTACGTATGTATACTGCTGCACTCTCCCCAAGTGGTGCGAGTAGCAAACAAAAATCAATTAACCACATTTCTCGACGCGTCTCGGGCCTTTCAGCCAAAACGCTTCCTCATTCCTGCGCCGGCGCTCTCTGTCTCCGTATCTGTCTGTCTCCGGACGCTGGACGCTGGACCATGATGGAGCCGGTGGACTGGAGCTGGAGCTACGCCGCTGAAAGCCGATTCGCTGCGCACATCACACAGCACACACCACACAAAGCACACGGAGATGCCTGGGACCCAGTGGCAGGCCCCGCAACGCGCCATCTGTGCGTCATGGCTGCAACGTGTTTTAATTGCCAACAGCTTTTCGCGCCACACTTTCCCAGCTGCTGCTGCTGCTGCCCAGTCGCAGTCGCAGTCCCTGTCCCGGCCGGCATCCACTTCTAAGTGACCGCCAAAATGTTTGGGGCAGGCACTGGCACTGGCAACGGGCTGGCACCGGACCAGGCCAGGCCAGGCCAGCCGTGTGGCAAGCTGTCGATGCATGATTAACTGCCGCGCCGTGCTGCAAACGGCAAACTGCATTTAATTGCATTCGAGAGATGCAGCATGCCGCAGGGCACTCTCGACAGCAGGTAGCCAAATCCCGAATTCCATATGCCGCCCACTGCAGTGCATTGCTGATTAATTTGTGGCATGCGACTGAGAGGCAAGGCGGCAGTGCCTGACTTGGGCTGGTTCGGAACTCGACTAACTGCTACCTTATTGGCCATGGGGGTTGACCTTTCCGGGGCTGGCAGGCGACACGGCTAAAAGCTTTTTGCGCGTTTGCGGGGTGAAAGTTGCAACTTTGGAAATTCCTTTCACTCGAGGAGTACAAAAAAAAGCACTGCCTGCCTTTTGTGTGCTTTGGTCACGCCTCTTGTCAAATCTTTGACAAATTAATTTCAATTGTTTAATGCACACACACAGACACACACACACACACACATAGACACACTCGATCCGATCCCAACTTATCGACTTATCTTTCACTTTATCTATTGTGGGGCCAGAGTGAAAATAAATTAACAATAAATAATTTTAATTATTTCATGAAGATGTCAAATTACACACGCCCCCACGCAGCAGAGGCCAAAAGACAAAGGCAAACAAAACCAAGAGCCAAGTGCCCAGCCAGGCTCCAAAGCATGAGCCGCACATCTAGCTCTGGCTCCAGCTTCAGATCCCAAATAGCTGCCCGGCTGCCTGGCTGCCTGCCTGCCATGTGCCACGGACTGAGGCCGGGTCGCCTCTCGCGATCTTTGCCACTTACGGGCCGGCTATTGTGGCAGCTTGTGGCACAGCTGCGCGCTCTTTGTATTTATGATTATTTTCCATTTTATTTTATTTATTAAATTTGTGTGTTTGCTCAAGCCTCCTACCCCACCCCCCCCATGCACCACTGGCTGCCGGCACTTTTTCGGGCAGCTCTAATAGGATTTGTTCGCAAATCTTCGGCGCTGTCCGAGCTGTTGATGGCCAACGTCATACAATTAAGCCCCAAAAGCCGCTAGTTAAATTTCACTACAAATTGTTGGTCCGCCTGACAATCGGACGGGGCTCTATGGCGGTGCCCTATTTGTCGCTGGCGGGGATCACATTACATTATTACCAAAGAAGCTGCCAGCAGCCGGGCTGCCAAACGATTTGTCAAATAGTTTGGGCCAAGCAAACTGTGGAATGTGTTTAATGAATATCGGATGAAGATGGATCAGGTGCAGCGATTATGTAGGGCTCAGGCTAAACGACTGAAAAATACCCTGTAACTGTGGCAAGGAAAACTGAATTTAAGCTGCCAAAATGGTGACTTAAGAAGGGAGCTACCTGTCCGGAAACTTCTAAAAATATTCAAGCCAAACATGTGGGAATTGGAAAGGGCATGTAAGGAGAATAAATAAGGAAACTGAAGATGAATTTAAATTGGGAGAAACTCTCCCTAAACGTAGAACACTTCTGCTTTTCATTCGGTCTTAGGGATATCCAGCGCCCTTGGCTTTTGCTCTCTTATCACAGACACTGCTTCATCGCCCAGAATATCCCCTCATGTGTAATCTTGGATATAAGAAAAGGCATCGGAAAACATAAATTTAAAATATGACGGATCACGGATGACTCTCTGCTTCAAAGTGTCTCCCATATCCGTACATACAGCCTGTGCTGTGCTTTATTTGTGTTATTGTGATTTATGGGCCTGCGCATGCGGTGCTCTGTTGCTGTTGCTGTTGCTGCTGCTGTTCCTCTGTTGCTGTTGCTCCGTTTGTCATAAAGAGAACGAAATTAATATTGAAAAGCTACTAAATCCAGACTTACGCATAAATTAAAAGTTAAGTAGGTAGGCAGTGCCCCCAGACATGCGACTATTTTTGGTACAGCCCGCAACAAAGAAAAGCAAAACAAAAAACAAAACAAAAAAGGAAAAAAACCAGAAACAGAAACAGAAAACTGAAAACAAAACAGCGAACATTTCTCGAGTTTCGAGTGGGGATTTTCTCGCATGTTTAACCCGTGATTTATGGCCCAACAGAGAGCGAACGAGATGGAGATGCATTTGTTTTTATTATTATTTTGTTTTTATTTTGCACATTTGCAATGTGCATATTTCAATGCATTTGACATCGTAAATATTTGTCAGTGCATTAAGTTGACTCCGTACACAAATAAATCGATATGCATATGACGCTGCTTACGCGCATGCGCATGCGTGGCACGTACACGTACAGCCAGCCAGCCGCTTCGATTGGCGATTATTTATGAAGTCTAGACCCCCGATTTGGCATACTTATAATTAGCATACAGGCATACAGGCCATAGGCTATAGCTGGCTGGGTGTGTGTACTACAATATATATCGGGTGCTATATATAGAAACAAATAACGGTAGCAAAGTTCTATGAACCGTTGAGTGCCCGCCAGCGACTGTCAGCTTAGCTAATTGAGGCCGAGTCGGAGCCTCGTTCCAGCGCTTACTGTCAGCCAGTTCGTCACTTTAGCAGGCAGCCAGGCAGGCTGGCAGCGAGGCAGGCAGGCGGCCGACCATCGAGCAATCGATCAATCAATCGATCAATCGATCGGGCAATCAATAAGTCAATCATATGCATGGGCAATCAGCAGAGTGCATACAAATTGCTGCAATTGTCTATGGGCTTTTCATAAGTGCATTACGGGGCCATCAACTGAAGTGAAAGAGTTTCGCTTTTCATCATTGCTGCCGTTGCTGCTGCTGCTGGTGGTGGGGGAGGGAGGGAGAAATGAAAAATTCGATAGATTTAAATACGCATTCGTTTTGATGCCCAGATTGGAGAGGAAAGTTTTTCGGCCACGGGGCCATGCAATCAAGGCGACATTAACGCTCTGCCTCTGGCACTCTGGCACCAGAAACGGAGATGAAGCTGCGACTGGGACTGGGACTGCAACTGGTACTGGCACTGGCACTGGATCTGCACTTTGTTTTTCGGTGCCTTCGAACCGGTCAGTACGATTGCCTCGGTACGATGTCTATTAATGTTGCCCATTAACCTTTTAACCCCCAGATTGCCAGCCTGCCGCCTCCTGCCTCCTACCCCACCTGACTGACTGCATTGCGTGGTAATGACTCTCTTTCTCCGCTTTGTCTCTTTTGCTCTCTTCACGCAAAAATGCGCAGAAGCTAAACGCTTTTTTCCTTCATTTTTGGCGGCTTACAGCATTTGGCCATTTATTGAGAGGGGCTACTCACTCCGCACTGCTTCTGCTGCTGCTGCTGCTTCCAGCCGAATTTGTTGCCAATTTGTTGCGCCACAAACTTGGTACGAGTATCGCAGCGCAGTCTGTCGCAGTCTCTCGTCTCTCTGCTCGTTTTCGGGTAGTCGTCCAATTAATTTCCGCATTTCCCAGACAAACTTGGCAATTAATTTTGCAGTTTGCATTTCTTCAACCTTGTTGGCCTGACCTTTTGGCTCAACTGATTCACGCCAACGCCACACACGTCAGCTTTGGTTTTTGCCTTTTTTTGGTTTTTTTGGATTTTTTTTTTTGGATTCGTCCTAACGAGAATGGCTTCGCTTTGGCTCTAAGTCGGCAATTAATCAAAGCGCCGTGGGCCACGGACAAATCCTTTTGTACACTCCTCGCATTCGTATATGGCCAGCAACTGACAACGCAAATGGCTAAAATGACAGCGGGCCGTGGCCGCTTCCATGAGTCAGCCGATGCCCGATGCCGATGGGCAACGGTAACATTACCATGCGTTGGCTCTTTTTGGGCGGCTTTTCCAGCCTAACAGCCTTAGAGGGGTGCTGCACACCACTGTGGAGGACAGGATGACTGACATACTCGGCTGACAGGCGATGCCAAAGGCCATACACACGACAGGATGGGGATGGCAGAGTGAAGGCTTTTTATTGAAATTAACTTTACCTATTTGTATATATCCCGCTGAGTGCATAATAAGTTTGTCAAAAATTAGAGAAATAAACAGGCAACATGGGACTATGTTCGGCTCTCTCTCTCTCCCTCTCTCTCTGTCTCTCTTTCTCACCCTGAGTCTGAGTCTGCCCGGCAGCATATTGGTTTCACAGTTTTTCTCAGGGCCAAGGACAAGGACGCCTTGTGAAAATACTTCAATGCGCTGGCACATGTTTGCTCTGGCAATAATTGGCGGCATTATTGACGCTCAGCGATAGCCACTCAATGGCCAGAGATTACCGACTGCCGCCGCTTCACGTGCAGCCGTTTCAATTGAACTTCAATTCAGCGTAAAAATTCACAAAAATTCAATTTCAATTGTTTGCGTGGTCGGGGTCTCTTTTTTTATACTTTTTCTATGTTTTTGATTTTTTGGCAAAGGCCAAGTTAATGAAAATATCATTACAGTTTAGCCCAGAGCGTAACAATAAACATGGCCCGTGTCTATTGCTGCGG